CCATAAGATATATATTCCATCCATAAGATATATATGTTTAGTGAATTACGTGATTTTACACCCGAATGCTACCTAGCGGTGGGTTTCGTAAACAGAAATAACCAAGAGGAGCCTGCCTGAGGTGTTCTCCCGACCTCACTCCTTGCCAAGACCTCATAGAAGGAAGACCTAAATACTGGACTAGTGGAGGGGCTACAAAGCCAGGTAAGATATGCAAGAAGAAAGGGTGAGTTACTTTTTCACAATGCATATAACTCATTAGTTGCCTAAAAAATACAATTCACTGCCAAATTTTATCGTATACTGTCTGATGGTGAATTCATTAGAGTTTGTTTGCCTTTTTGTTTCTAAAAGTCTTTATTTGCCTAAACATTCGAATCCTAACTAAATTAATATGGAATTATCCTAGTGGATTCCTTTCGATTGAAAAAAAAAATTACGAAGTTATGAGAGAACACACATAAAAAAAAAGGGTCGAATTGAGATCTTTCTTTTTTAAAGTTATTTAATAAGTAATCACGAATTTCTAGGTTATGTAATTTTCGATCTCCATTACCTTCGACAAGGGGTTGAAGCGGATATAAGGGACGCTACTTGAGGGGCTTAAGGAAACAGGATCATGAAGGGCTCCCTTGTCCTGAGGGATTAGCGGCTGGGGACACGAAGGCTTGTTTTCCCTCCCTCCTCCTCCTCCTGGAAATTAGAGCAGCTTCGGGGGGAATAATTCCTCAGCTCCCCTGCATATTGAGCAGGCTTTGTAGCTCTTGCCTTTAAATGGAGCAGCCTCCACGGATTGAGCTGTCCTACCAACACTTCAAGCAGACAAAATCTTCTTTCAGAAAAGGAATGGATGGCACAAAGCTGTAATGGACCTAATAACATTGATTATACTAAATGAAATTATTAATTGTTCTGGATTTCTAGATGTCCCTCGGGTTATCTTCATTGCTGACATGGCAACATTTAATAAAAATAAACATAAAAAATACATATTATTCTTTTCTCTAAAAAATATTATCAGGATCTCTATAATCGTCATTTATGACTGAAGAATAATGAAGATAATCAATATATTTAAATATAAGATTTTTGGGATAAAAAGTTATCAAATTATTCTAGATTGAAGTTTTGTGTACTGGTGTGTTCAATCTTGTGCGGTGCTGATGTCATAAGGTATATATCGATCAATCATTTTTTTTTTTTAATTTGATTAGTTGGTATGGGATAAATCCATAAAACCTGGTGATTATCAAACGCCTAAGTTTGCTTATTTATTTATGACTATATTTATTGGTTTTGCGTGAAAAAAAATAAATAAAAACTAACAATATTAAAAATGTTTATAATGTAATAAATGAAAACATTTAATGTCATGATCAATATAAATTATATATATATACTATCTACATATATACCGTTAGAATAAGGATGCAGAAGGAGAAGAATGTATCTTGTTGAAAAAATATCTAGAGAGACAAAGCTTTTTAAAAAAAAAAAGAAGGTATTTTTAAAAATTCATTATTACTTTGGAGAGAAATTATATGCCCATTTACACGATTTATTCCTCATTTAATTTAGTCATTCATATACAATGAGAAGTCAATCAATAATACAGTTATACAGTATTGATACTTTTGACCTTTTTGAATATTTGACTCAGCGTACCATCAAAATACGATTTTGAAATTATATGCCAAAGAGGATGAAATGCTGAACATTTCCCTTGCTTACAGTAAGTAGGTCCGATTTTTAGTTTCTGAAATATTTTAATTCATATGTAATAACATTTCATTTAGTCGACTGTAGCCGACTTAACACTTCAGAAATCTGAAGAATCAATCTAATTCACTCTCGAAAAAAAATGTAAAACGCGCCTAAAGTAGTTTTCACTTTAAAAAACTGGTATGTAATCTTAGTTTGTTTGAAACCGCTAATTATTATATTACATGTATAACAGGTAATAAACTAATTATTGAGTTATTCCATTATGAATGCTGTCCCATCTCCATCCAAACCAATAGTTAAAAAGAGTTGTGTTTTCCAGAATATAGAAGAAAATAGAGAAAAATGAGAAACCTCTTTTGGATCATCAGCCGGAGATTGACAGGAGAAAAACCATTTTCCGAGCTGGTGGCTCCACTGGCTGTCAATTCTTTCATCCCTGACAGGACTCAACTCCGCCCACACGAGAAATTCAATCTAATTTTCTTCTCAGATGGAAAATTATTTTCCATATCTTTTTAGCGATTCAGCTGACAAACAATTGGGAAATATTTTCGTAATAATTGATTAATTAAGTTAGCCATTTACTTGAGTTGTTATGCAGCTTCTTTGCATGCTAATTGCTTGCAGGATAATTTATGGGTTTTCATTTTCGAATTTTTTCGACGAAACAGGTGCCTACCATGTCGGCGAGGACAAAATTCCTCATACGGCCGCGGTACGTCACCATGGACAGAAGGATGACCTGGGGCCCGTACATCGAAATAAAAAGAATGACCTTAAACAAGCGACTGAAACTACTATCCACTATTTTTCCAAATCACACTTCAACAAAATACAAAAATTAAATATGTACTCATACCTATTTAAACCCGTATGGAAATACGCCTCACAGTTTAGTAATAAAGACGCACTTTAAAAAAATATAATCTTTTCGATCAGTTTTCAATTTTAACACGCAATTTTGTTTTTTGTTTTTTTGTATTATTGAAATTTACAACTGTATTAAATGATAAATACAACAAGTAACATGACATGTACAACATGAAGAGAAACTACCCATTGGTAGCACTCCAATTATATTTCTATAATCTTCTTTTCAGACACCTCGGAGGGCTATCAGGAATAGAAGAGGAAGCAAGGTTCGAAACAATAGGGTTCGGATGGTTCAGAAGTTTATGATGGAAGGATAGGAATCTGGATGGAGCTAAAGTGGAAATATATGGTACATCAAGGTCGTTATGAATGATTTTATTTGTGACAAAGTATGGAGCATTAAGGATTTTGGATTGTAGGGATTGATTACGAGAGTAATTTGATGGTTTAGTAGAGCCCCAAAGCTCGATCCCATAAGTCGAAATAGAAGACACAAATTTAAAACTAATAACTGTATCTCCTTGATACGTGGACAAAAAAAGTTAACATATTAAATGATTGTAGGTTAGTAATTTACGGACATAGGACAACCAACACTTGCGCATTCTTTACTCACGACTTCACATTAATATATATACGTCCGGTACGTTTTTACACGTCCCATAAATTTTTGCACCGCCATTCACAAAATGCCGGTATCTATATATCTTTTTTTTTTAATTAGAATTGTATTTATTTAGAATTAAAATAACGAGAATTAATTATTCTCTGTAATGTACAAACGAGGAATTTTCGTCATTTGGCTATTGGTGATTGTTTGCTGAATGACGAATTTTCGTCATGCGGACGAATTCATGTTAAAATACACGGACATAAACGAAATAGCCATCCACGGCTGACATGTCCATCAGGAGACAACCGAAAAGGAGCTGGATGAGGACCTCCTTTCCTGATTTAAAGAAGTGAACAATGACAAGAAGAGGTGCTGCAGGGTGCTAACCTTCGTCATGCTTAAAATACCATTATTATCAACAATAAATCGTGCGGATGAAGTTTTACAGATAAAAAAAAAATGTTTTGTTTTAAAAATGCTACAAATGACTAAAACCTCAGTAATATAGTGAATTTATTTAATTACAATTTCTCAAGATTGCTTCTTTTTGAATAAGAATAAAATTTACTAAATAATATTTTTTTTTTAATTGCAAAATAATAACTAAAATATTGAAAAGTAAACAATACTATAAAAGCAAGAAAATTAAATAAATAGCTGACAAGCAGCAACAGTATAATTTCCAAATGCTAAAACATTGATCTATTCTGAAAATTAAAGATCAGTAACTAATAGATTTTAATAAAAGAAAAATTGCTCTTCAATTGCAATAAAACTCAACTTAAATTTTAAGTAATTAAAAATACAATTAAAATAAATGTAATAAATTAATTAAGTTATGTTTTTTCTTATATTTATAAGCTTTAATAAACCCATTTTGAAAGATATTATAGATTGAGCAATCTTATAATTAATAATGATTTAAATTTTAGTTTTAAAATGATATTTTTTATATCAGTTTTATATTAAAAATGAATTGAGTCCAAATCATTAGATGATATTGATCAATCTTGAATTGTGTCATATTTTGAATTTAAAAAACGAGAAGTTTTTTAATGAAATACCTAATAATTTGTATAAAAATTAATTTTACGTATAATGTTAAATTGTGACATTATAGATAATTTACAAAATATTTCAGGTAAACTGTTATTAATAAAAAGAAAAAAAAACTGAAGAATTTTTTTATAAAAAGATATTTAATAATTGATTCATCAATTGCTGACATAGAGTATTTTATTGATTTTATGAATGTTGTTTTCAATGTTTTAGAATATTTGAAAATCGCAATAAATGCGAAAACGTTATACAATACATAGAGGCAATAAAACTTCTTATAAAAAAGATGTTTTATCTTTAAAATAACATTTATGAGAGTATATGTGGTCTTTGAATAACAATTAATCGCGTTAGGTTAAATCTTAATAATTACATGAAAACCCCACAAAAAATAAATTGTTTTATGTATATAGCAAAACAGATTTGTTATAATAAAGTATACTTTGTGATTAGGTGTCATTGGGGTGCATTAAAGTACCTGCAACGAGATACAGTTTCGAGAACCCCATTTATCAACAATTGAGGTTATTAACTAATCTAATAAACCCCTGTCAAAATACACCTGTCCTTATCTCTGAGATAAAAATTAAATGATATCAGCGTGGGCCTGCTCGTGACACTGCGACAAAACAAAACAAAGATATCGGATCAATTTTAGATAGGAGGGGGCGACAGTAGGGGGGGGGGTTGTAGAAGATAAATTTCTCGTAACGAATTTTATCCAATGTGCCGAGGACATGCACTTTATGAACAATTGAGTTCGACAACCACGCGATAAAAACATACCAGACTAGTTTTTATAATCAGGTAATAAACAGTACATATATTTTTCCATATTCCAAAAAGTGATTTTATATATATTTTTTAAAAAAATTTTATAAGCTCTATTTTACCAACACCGGTGTTCAGAAACTTTGGCTTGGTTTCAGCTTTAAAAAAATAATCTAAGAGAGTTAGCCGGAACCATTGTAATAACAAATATGCCAAGAAAAGTTCACAAAATCAAAAAAGCGAAAGCTACACATAATGAATCTATAATATAGATCAATACATCCAGGATAACTGATTATAGTGCATATCGAATATTTGTATTTTATCCTATTTTAAAAATTTATAAATCCTTTAAAATATATCTAAGTATTTACTTAAGTCCGAGAATAACATTAGGTATAAAATTAATACGTTGAACGGTTAAATATTTTAAGAAGATCTCGAACACATTTTAAATTATTTACTTATTATTTACTAAACTTTTCAAGAATTTTCAACACGTTATAACGAAATCAGTATACTACTTTATGCCAGCGATTGATGCATCAATTATTACGTATTATCTTTTTATCAAAAATTCTTTAGTTTTTTTATTTTTATTAATAACAGTTTTCCTGAAAAATTATGTAAATTGCCTATAATGTCACAATTTAACATTATACATAATATTAATTTTTATACAAATTATTAGGTATTTCATTAAAAATCTTATTATTTTTTTAATTCATAATATGACAACATTAAACATTAATATTTGATTTGGACTCTTATTTAATTATTTTTAATATAAAACTGATATAAAAATAACATTTTAAACTAAAATTTAAATCATTATTAATTATAAGATTGCTCAATTTATAATATCTTTCAAAATGGGTTTTGATGTATGTAAATATAAGAAAAAACATAACTTAATTAATTTATTACATTCATGTTCATTAGATATTATATGGTCTTTTTAACTAATTAAAATGTAAGTTGAGTTTTATTTATATATATATATATATATATATATATATATATATATATATATATATATATATATATTACATATATAATTTTTATTTTCACCAGTAAATTTATTCTATTTTTGAAAAAATGTCTTAATTCATTTGTTGTTATATATATAACGACAAATGAATTAGATGATGGAAGACATATTTCCAAAAATAGAATAAATTCACTGGTGAAAATAAAAATATTAAACCAGAGACTTTGAAAATGTAATATATTTGAAGCAGTATTTATTTTTAAGGGAGAACGGGTAAACATAAATTTTATGAAAAAAACCTACACGTGATCGGATTTTGTTTTTCAACTCTTCCAAATTGAAATCCGGGAGGATGTTTAAAAGCTTTATTGATCAGAGGAGAAAAAGCTTTTTCCTGGACTGAAATATTAATCTGCTACTGTCCTTGGACCAAATTTAAACAAGTATTAAATAAAATGTCTATCGAGTCTTATATATATATATATATATATATATATATATATATATATATATATATATATATATATATATGTATATATAAGACTCGATAGACATTTTATTTAATACTTGTTTAAATTTGGTCCAAGGACAGTAGCAGATTAATATTTCAGTCCAGGAAAAAGGTGTTTTAAGCAACCTCCTGTGAGGCTCTTGATATAACGTCGAAAAATAACCTATTCAATACTAATTAAATTAATTAGTATTGAATAGGTTATTTTTCGACGTTATATCAAGAGCCTCACAGGAGGTTGCTTAAAACGCCATCACAAGATTGCTCCTCAAGAGGACGAAAAGCAAAAAAAAAAAAAGACCATCTCCCACAGTTTTAATTGGAATTGCTTTCCTGATTAAAGTTTGCTCCTGTAGAAGACGCAATGTACACAAATGATGTTACGTTAACATTAAACATTAGAAACAATTTTTATAATCAACAATTAATAAAAATAAAATTAATTAAGCGTATATTTCAATTTATAAAAATTTGATATTCAGTGGCTCTCCATCCCTCTAATGAAACGTAATATCGATGAAGGGCATCTTCTTAGAATAAGTATCATAAATGTGAAGTGCCCCATATAGTTCAGTTATAATCATACTTCTATGGATAAATAGATATCCAATAAAAAGACTGACATAATGTAAAATTATATTATTTATTCAAATTTCACCAGAGGGAATGAGGGGAGAGGGAGGGGGGGGGATGATCAGTATTAACGAACTTGTGTAGTCGAGAGGACTTGAAACTATTGAAGTAGTTTACCGACCAACATCCCATCGAATCCAATAATATTTATTCAACCGGTGTAGTTGTATTTTCGATATATTTTGTCATAACTCTAAAGACCTTCACCAAATATTTCGATGCAATGTTTGTATTTATCGTTTGAATATAAAATTCGAAATCAGTTCACAACAGATCGAAAAACTGTTGTTTGTTTTTTTGAGATCTCACATTACTTTTGTCTCATGGTTACATTGAGTCCGAAAAAGTAATTTTTTTTTTTTTATAAACCTTAGTCAATACCGATGTTCAGAATCTTTCGCTTTGTATTAGTTTATCGATGGAATAAATATATTTTAGTAACGTTGATTTCTTGCATATTTAATTTTAAAAATAATGTATGATCTCTAACTTATTAAAGTGAAAGATATAAGTTACTCACCATTTCTGTACCATTTGTCTTTCCAAACTTTATCCTAACTTTGAACCACGTCTGTTTGTGAAATAGTAAAGGAAAATTCCTTGGCGTGCGCGTGCGAGAGAAGTTGTTTTGAAAAACTATCTTAGGTATTAAAGGTATTAGATACTAACCAGCAGAATAACTGAACAGTTCATCGAAATTCAATTATTTTAAGAGCATAAAACAACTTGGCTATAGACAGATATGGAATCGAATTCGTTCATTGATGTCTAAAATGTAAACCGCGAGTTAAAATATTCAAATCTGAAAAAAATATTTTTTTTACATTTGCAGTATGAATACGACACCTTCTCTATTGTAGTAATGAGAAACCAAAAAAAAAAAAAACAAATCTTAATTTAACTTCGTTTATAGAATATTTGGTACAAAGTGTAATAAAATCAACAGTTGGTTATAATTTTGAATATTAGTAAAGAAATTGAACTATCCTGCTGGGCACGTTAGCGTTAATAATAACTTCGAAAGGGAGCTACCCATTTCTCTCAAGGTACACACTCCATAGAAATTTTGTTGCTCTCCACTTATTAAAAACAGAGCAAGCGAAAATAAAATTTAAATAAATGTAGTTAGTACACATTACTCATGCTGTTGTATGTTCCATCTCCATAGCCATCTATACCGTATTGGAGATGTCAAATCAGCAACATGTCCACTGTTTCAACAAGGATTCATGATTGCATCTACTGACTTGTCCCGAACTACAAGACATTAGAAACAAATCCAGGACAGAAGATGAAATTTACTGTGCTGCTAGACGCCGCATGGCCAAATGAGCCAAAGACGATCAAGGTATAGGAAAAAAAAAAGTATGTTCCGTGCCTTTTATCTTATTTTTTGGTTTGAAAGTTCTATCAAATAGAAACCCTTCAAAAATATACATCCCTTCGTAAATTGATGAGCCTTTTAAACTATTCTAATCCGCTTTACAGATTTTTTTTTTAAAACCACTAACATTTGTCTAAAACTTCATTTTATTGTAACCTCGGAAACGGTGTTTTCAATCTGGAGGATAGCAAATTTCCTCAAGTTAATGAAGCATTAAAACCACACCAACCACCCCTTTGCTTTCCACTTAAATCTTAAGATAATTTGATTACAAAATTGAAAAAAATAAATAAATTACCTACAGAAATATTGGACCGTCAGGTCAATTTAATCTCGCTATTTTGACATGTTGGGGATGGAGTTCACCACAAACAGCTCAATATTATTTTTGTTTAACGAGTTATCAATACTCCATTAAATTGACAAAGTTTACCGATCACGAAATTTTAAATGCCTCATTTCCCAGAATAAAAAAGTTTCAAGAACGATAAGATAAACCTATTCACAAAATTTTAGGCTAATGTCAATAACTTCATAAAAATGAGCCTGTACCGCGGATTATTACCTCTTCAAAAATTCAAAATCCCATAAAATGTTTACGGCGCATAAACTATCACCCCTTCTGACCAACTCCCTTCCTCTCCCCTACTAGTAAACAAAGGTTTTACAAATTTGTGCAAATGAATTATTAAACTATTAAGTAGTATTAGTAGTAGTAGTAACAACAGACTTTTTCAGTCTCGATAAATAATTTAATTATTTCAAATTTATCCAACTTTTTGCCTCCTCAGGAATCTTCAGGGATAATCTGATTTTACAAGTAATTTAAATTTTCATTCACTTGCACACTTAGTCAAAGAACACAACCGAATTCTTATATATTATAAAGTAGTATCGTAAAACTATATCAAATAATAATTCTCTGCATTTACGTCTGTTTACAGTCGATTTACTGCAAAACCTCTTTAAGTAACATTTCAGGAAATCGAATCAATAAATAATTTCATGAATTTATCCTCTTTGAAATCAAAATATTGTGCATTTAAATTACCTGTTTTTGACAAAGAATAGGATCAGTGTTATTTTGATATACTTTTCATCGATAAATATTATTAAAATCAACAAATATTTATCCTTGGCTCCATCAAAAGTGTGCTTAATGACTCTTTGCAATAAACCTGACTAAAGGAATCATTAGCAGATGGGTTAGCGGTTAGGGAAGTCATCAGAACTAGAGCGCATTAGCTGTGGGCCGAATGTTGATGAGGTTCTGATTGTGCCCTAACCCGCTTCGTGTTGACACAAACTTCGGTTCTAACGTGCCAAATGTGACCCCGTTTGGTTTAACTTTTAACTTAGTTTGCTCAAGTTTGTGTGCTGACCTTAGTACCTACTCTAAAACGATGGTCCGATCTATATACTTTGCCGCTTAATTATCTATAAAATGATAATGTTAAATGATTGTTTAACTTTTTTTATAAGGGCTATTTTTTTCAAAAAATTCATTGAATCAACCTTACAATTATATACAAGTTCGTATAAAATAACAAATAAAAAATATTTTTAAAACTACTGAAATCCAAATTTTTGATATGGGATACTGAACTTTTTTCAAGAACTTAAATAAATACAGGTTAAAGTTATACCACAAACCTTTAACTTTATTACTAGTGTTGGTCTTGGTCTTGCGTGCCTAGTCTTGGACTTGCTCAAGGGTCTCGCAACAGTCTTGCAGTTACCTATTAGCTTATTACTATAGATATATTACTGTATTTTTTTAGATAGGAGAAACCTAACTGAGCCCGAATGAAAAAAAAAAAAAATGGTTATGCCAATTATTCACATATAGTAACTAAAATCGTCAAGTATTAGTAACTATTTTGCCTTAATTTTTATTCAAAAAATCGATTTTTTTACCAGGCTTGATCTTGGTCTTGATCTTAAAATGTACAAGACCATGACCGATTTTGAGTAACACTATTTATTACAAAAAGGTTCCTTAGAACTTTTATTTTAAAAACTTTTTTCCTTAAAAGTTTCACGAAAAATGAAACTTCTTTCCTAAAAAGTTTCACAGAAACTGTTTAAGTGAAACTACAACTCTTACCCTTACAAATATTTCTTAAAACTCTTACTCAATTAGCGTCAGAAAACATTTTTTTTTTATTTTTAAAACGTTCAAAAACATATTTAAGGAATACTATGGGAGATGTAAATATTACAGAATACTATTGCTTTCTGTATTCTGGATTTAGAATAAAGAATTTTAAGCGGGATTGATTTTACCAAAAATTTTATTGAGTTTATAAGAAAAAAAAATCTGTTGCGCGCTACACAAAAAGTTTCACTTATCGTTCTACTTTGAATAGAAATTATTTTCTGGCAAAGTTGAGCTAGAATAGAGAGATTTCAAAGTGTATCGGTATATTCAGGCTATAAATGATTATGCATTGTAGGCCTATTAGTTATTAGACCGTTATTTTCTATTCTAAAGTTAACTAAAATTAAATTACTAGATTTACATTGCCTGCCATGGATTGGTCAAAAGTTGTTATACTAATTTTAATTGGATAATGTCGGGATTTCATAAAGAGAAAATTCATCAAATTATTCACTAATTTAATTTTCTAAAAGGTTACATGACGATTTTTCAGAATAAATGGACATTGATACCTAATTATTTAAATATAATACCAGATCTAGAATTATTAAACTATATTAAATGTATTTATAAACATATGTTTTAGACATCCATGAAATATTTTTATATTTCACTTCTTCTTTCACACTAGTAAAATGAAATAGTTTTTTGAACAATGTCATTGTCTTGATTAGGTGGATCTTAAATACTTTTTTAAAACTTTTAAAAGTTTACTTTGAGTTAGAAAATTTCATTTAATTTTCTTGAAACACAATATGATCCGTAAAATAGTAATAGTCTTCAGAAATTATTACTATTTATACTTTATTCTTCACTCTCCATTACTTTTATTATGTATTAGATATTGTTTTTTTCTAAAATTCTCCGCTTTCCAACGATATACTATACTTATACCTTCTGACTATTATTTCCGAAGATTCATTTTCGAGCTGAATAAGTATTTTTCCTGTTTTCTCCTCTGTTCAATTATCAAATTTTTTCAAAACTTATATTTAGCCTTTTTTCATTATTTATATCACTGAGAGGTAGTTAATTATTTCAAATAAACCAAATTAAAGGTACTTTGGAGGAAGACATATTGAATATTGGGCATTTAAGCCCTGTAAAGTGACACCAATGGGGATAAGACATAAATGATATTAGAGGCCACTCAATTATACAATGATACGCCAAGTTTAATCAAAATCGTTGGAGTCGTTTTTGAGAAAAATTGTAAAAATGTTTTTCACCGTTCATATAAAGTGGCACTTCCGATTAGCCGATTTTAAGGAAAAAGTTGCTGTAAGATACCTATTTTAAACATGTAATATCAATTTCGTACGACTCTTCGTGTTTGAGCTAGACTGTTCACAAACACACACACAGACCATTTTGCGAGACTTGGTCATTTGGACTCAGAGGAGTCAAAACGTCTATTTTCATTGAAAACTCTGTTTCAAAAATTTTCACGATCCCAATACTTTATATATTAAATAGGTAAGAGAAAGTAAAAAAATGTTACGAAAATCATAAACAACGACTATTTATAACTCAAGTTTTTTGATAGATTAATTAAATGATTTTGTGGTAAGGATTTCTTTTTTAGTGCTTTTCATTTTTTTATTAATTTAATTAGAATTTTCTGAGAACTTTTTTTTTCGGGAGCCCCAAAACTGCTTAAAATCCCTCTCCGATGAGTCGACTATTGGTCAATATTTGAGTGGCTCAAAGTTTGTTTTGGAATCTTCCATTAATAATTTTTATTATTATTTTTTTAATATTGTTTTCTGATTAAGTAATAAATGTTGTTAAGTAACAACCAATCTATGATAGCTACTTAAGGAGAAGACCTTGAACTTTGAACTCGAGTATAGTTGGATCAATTCTTCAACTTAATCGATAAAATATAACCTATTTGTTGCGGTTTCATCACGATATTATGAAAATATTTATTGTTTTCTGTGTTAATCTTGTTGCGTAAATTATTCTTTATATATATATATTATAATTTTGTTTTCAATTATTGTAATACCTCAGATATTTCACCGAATATCAAATTTTGGTTATTAAGAGAAATTCTGAATAGCGGATAGCCCAAGTGCAATAAAAGAGGAATTCCAATATGAGAGAGGTAGGCTATTGAGGAGTTGCGTCATGGAGCAGAAGCCCTCCAGTTCAAAGGCAATTTCGCAGTCATTTATTCTGTGGGTATCTTTAATAAATTGGATCTTTCCAGCCTCGTGGTCAAATTAACAAGCAATCTAATAAAGTCCTAAGACTAAGCCAGCTATTGGGTTTTGTTTTGCCTTTAATAACGACTTTTTCCGTCTGCTTAATGTGGCTAGGAAACTTAAGTTTATCAATGGAATATTGAATTATAATTTTGTTTCCTTTTCTATGTATTTTTTATAAAATAAAAAATGGAAAAATTAGAGTTAGAATTTAGAAAACATGAAATTTCTAACATAGAAGACTTATAAAAGTATCTCCTTGATACTATTGTCCAAAATTGGTCTTGGTTTTGCACCTTACAAGACCAAGAACAAGACAGTCTACCTGTTGCAAGACCAAGACCAAGACTGGTAAAAAAAAAAATCGATTTTTTGAATAAGAATTAAGGCAAAATAGTTACTAATACTTGACAATTTTAGTTACTATATGTAAAGAATTGGTATAACCAATATACTTTTGCATTTAACTCTTCTAATTTTTCATTCGGGCTTAGTTAGGTTTCTCCAATCTACAAAATTACTGTAATATCTCTATAGTAATAAGCTAATAGATAACTGCAAGACTGTTGGAAAACTCTTGCGCAAGACCAAGACCTAGAGGAAGACGGAGTGCGCAAGACCAAGACTCGTCTAGGTCTCACATTTGGATAACACTACTCCTCGAAGAGTGGAACAGGGTAAGCCCGGAATCACCAAAAATATTCTGTTGACTCCATTACAAACAGTCTGAAAGAAGCTGTAGAAAATAATGGCTCGCCTACAAGATATTGAACTAAATTAATAGTATTTTAAAGCTAATAACAAGTGAGGTGTATCATTTTGACTGTGAGGTAAAAATTATTCAGTTTTTCTGTTATTAATTTTTTTACATAACCACAGTTGAATATTTTTATTTCATTGAGTTTATACATATTTAAATGCAGATTATAAATAAATCTGTTAAAATTTTTCTGGTTTTATTTGTTTACTGTATCCATTTAAGTATTGTTTAAATTTTTCTGCGGGATTTATCAATTCCACTACGGGCCACTGTACATAGAACTACAATTAAAAAAAATAATTTTCTCAAATTTTCGGCAAACCTTTTTGTATTATATTATGTTTTATTTTATTTTATTTCAAATAATTTAGGATGAACAACTGCCCTCTCCTACGTACGCCCATGAAAAGTTCATTTTCATGCAGGAGTGCCCATCCTCTCCAAGGTTGATGGAGCAAAAGCCTCCCCCATTTTTTCCAAGTTATTTTATTGCTCTCCTCTTCTTAAAAACAGTAAGCTAAAGTAGAATTTAACTAATCATAGCCCAAGTACTATTACATTCTCGGTGTTCTGTTCTTTGCTTTCCTCTTGTCCCCTGGTTTGAAACTTTTCATTCCAAAATTCATAACTCTACCGAAATGTGCTCCCCTCAAAAATTTAAAACCCCGTCAAAATGTGCCCCCTAAAAAATTTTAATTAAAATTAAAATAAAACCTCCTTCTGGGCACCGCTGTTACCATATAACTCTGCAATATCATACAAAAACAAAGAGCTAAGATAAGTTGAAGTTGAAAACCATAGAAAAATAATACAAGATGAGATCTTGTTTGAATTTTTAACTATGACGGCTAAACGGTGAATAGCTATAATTAACAATTGTGTTACGTTGTGATTCTTTTATGACGCAAGGAGGATTTCTGAGCGAACTTTGCCTATATCAAATATTGAACTGAATTGATTATCAGATAATTTACTGATATAGAACATATCCCTGTATTTCATAACTGTTTTAAAGAATCCCCCATTTTGTTGCCAGGATGTGGGCTTTACTGGCGACGACCTGCCTATTGGCAGCCAGCGCCGCAGCAGACGATTCCCTCCGATCAGCGCTACATGCTGTGCAGAAGCGGCAACGGGACCTCAGCCCGCAGGAACCTCTCTACTTTAACAGGCCCAACATGATGTACAGTACGGATCATTTATAGTTCATTATAAATGTATATCATACAATCACTGCAATTGAAATTAAACTATGTAGGATAAATTGTTTATTAAATTGTGTCTTTTCTTCCTTAACAGGTGAGGGACAGCCTGAAGACATCGGATATGGGTACCAGAAGACTGTACCAGGAACGCCTGGGCTATTCGAAGCCCTTCCCATTCCAGCATCAGCTTTAGGGGCATCGTATGATACTTCCAAACCTATTGCGGGATTTTTCTTAGATGATAAGTATAACATTCCATCCTCAAAACGATCCATCTTCCGAGAGCGAGGTGATTCCGCTGATGCTTTGCAAAGGATTTATGAAGAAAATCAACAAGATGACGACGGCCCACTATTGATACCATCTCCTTTTAGGGAACGAATGTCTGAAAAATCGCGACTCCAAAACGCTCACGCATTGGTAAGGAATTTCGGCGGCTTGAATAGGCAACCCGAAGACCAGTTAGGCGATGATGACTACATCAATGTCCTCAATAATATTTGGGAAAAATACAAGAACGAGGAAGATCCGGAGGATATCACTGAAGCAGATGTAGAGGATATTTTAGAATACCTCGCTCGAAAGGAAGAAAAGAAGAGACAACAGTATGGAAACTACGACACAGGGTACGATTTTTTTAATGCTCCTATGTCTTGGACAAAGCGTGAGCCCAGAATGGAAGCACATCATAAAAGATATCATGAAACCCTATTTGATGAAAGATATCCCTACCGCGGTCCTCAAAAAAGATACCCTATCACTAAAAGATCACCAACAGTCGTTGCCAGCACTTCGGTCTCACACAGGCATAAGAAGAACACACCAGAAAAACAACAAACAGATCCGAAAGTTGCTGCCGAACTGAATAACATTTTTTCTTCTCCCCAAAAAACGGGCAAGAATCACACTGAAACGACAACTACGACACAAGTGCCAAACACAACACAGACCCCTGGTCAAAAAGAACAGACTGGGGATAACAGTTCCTTGAAGCCACTGGAAGTGAAAAAGAAGTCCATTAACTGGTCAGACTACTTTGGGATAGATCGAAGAAAGAAATCAGCAGATTCAGAAATAAACAACGAATGGTTAGCAAGGAAATATTTAGAGAAATATGGATACTTTGACAAGGATAAAGATCAGATGAGTATGGAGAACCAGAAAAAACGACCTGATGATGTTGATAATAAGATGCGAGCTATGGAGGATCTTATTGTTGACCAGGCAATCAAGTACACAGGCGCTCATGAGGGAACTACAGACAGCAAAGAAATACAGGAAGTGAAGGACAAGGTGATGGCACAGCTAGCTGCAGCTTACAGCCTTGAGAAAATGAGAAGAGCTTTGGGTGAGTTCAAAGCTAGTATAGCAGCACAACGGGCCAACAATCCTTCAGGAAATGGAGTGGTTATGCCTAAACAAGGTAAAAAAACTGATTGATATCAATTATTCAAATATCTAAATCACCAGTGATTAAAATTCATGTGAAAAAAACTTTTTTTTAGGAAATTACAGTATCTTATTATTAACACAGTTTAGTAACTTTCATTGTTCTATTTATTTCAAACGTTTGTTCTGAAGAGAAAACATTGTTTGTTTTTTTGGGAAGAGAAAAAATTGGTTTTTAATCAAAGAACGACAAAAAAAAAAATTTAATGTGGTTCAATTTTAAAACTTAAACATTTTATCTCCTGACAATCTAAGCATTAGTATATAACCCTTCTGGCCTATTTACTTAAACAATAGTAGTGTGAAGAATAACAATTATTCATCATTGAAAATTTTATAATCAATTAACATTATTTTTATTGTGAATAGACCAAGAATTGAAACCCAAACTTATGAAAGACAAACCAGAGGCAGCATCAGCTAAAATGGAGAAAAAGGATATCCCAGAAATTCGAAATGAAGTAGCAGAAATTGGCAACTTACATGGAAGAGGTAACTTACAGTTTCAGAATGATCACACATGTCTTATTTAGTTTAAATTTATTGGAACAATTGTTAACAATAAAAAACAAAAGTAAAAATTAAGCAGATTATGTGCCCAATCTGTAATTTTAAATATTTCCTTGACTATGAAATCTGATAAATAACATAAAAGAACATTTAGTTAGAATTGTTTGAAAATCACAAAAAATTGATCAATTATTTAAGCAAGCTTTACCTGCAACTTTAATACATAAATCTGGGAGCATTAAATATTTTCACTGCCAGTCTTATTTAATAAATCATTATTGAAGTTGGTTAAAATTGTTGTTAATAATTTATTAAGCAAAAATTCATCTATCGAAATAATATTAATGGAAATATACTCATTTGACTTTTTGTTTTAGTTTAATTGAGACTAATTTTATATTGTTTAATTACAGTATGAAGTGTCTTACTACAGTTTGTAGCCTGGAGTTAATCTGAACTTGTTTAAAACAAAATAAAATAATTAAATGCTTTAAGCTGTAGATAAATTTAAATATTAAAGCTGCTTCATTATCTAAATAAATGGAAGTAAAGTTGAAAAACGTATATAACTAGGTTAAACAAAATCCTAATCAAAGCTTTGCTATATTAGATGTGGTTTTAAATGAGAAAAATTGGGCTCTGTTATCTTACAAATTATTATTGAATAAAATGAAACAACAAACTCGGCATGAGATGTGACCTAAAAAAGGGCTGTCCTTTTAATCTACTTGGTAATGTAATTAGTTGTGCAAGGAACTAAGATTAGAGCCTGTTAAGGCACATTGTTCACAACTCAGCTTTTCTTTTGCAAAGTAAATATAAACTTGGACGACAACTTTATCATATTAAAAGAGACCTAGATGTTCTAACAAACCAGTATTAAATGTTACCAAGGCAGTATAAAATCTTGTATAAGTTGATAACACTTCTGCTCTTTAATATATCTATCGTCTAGTGTTATGTGTTTAACTATAAACAGTATAGTGATGCTATTTTAATTTAATAGATATCAGAAACTTCAGATAATTGATAAGAAAAGTAGTGGGATATATCTAACTGAGTAGCTGTAGCTATGTTGATTGAAGCTGTAGCTGTTTGACCTCTAACAATTTTGATGCAATTATGCGAACTCAATTTAAACCAATATTTTTATTTAATTCTCATATAACTAAGCTGTTATACTTTTTTTGTTTTCATTTATTGTGTTAATATCATAAAAATAATAATGAAAAAATAGAGGATGACTAAATAAATTTAAAATGATAAATATTTTGGGCAATATATATTGTACTAAGAATATATATATAAATAGGATGGAGTAGTGTTGAACCATCAATAAGTTTGGATTACAGGAGATAATCTAAAAAACTTCATATCATAAAATATTAAAACTTAATACACACAACTTTATTAACTGGATAGGCACGTATGTATTCACTTTAAAAATTGAATTTGTATTTATATATATATATATATATATATATATATATATATATATATATATATATATATATATTATGTTTAAGTATATAATAACAAATACATTATATTGGGTTGGCATTAATAAGTCCTTTCGGTTTTTCAGGGTTAAATAAAACTCAATGTATTATAGACATAAAATTTATTTTAATCTAAAGTATATTGACCATTATTTAATATGACTTTTTCCCATCTTTCCACTAACTGCATAAAGCCATGCAGCTCGTTTGAATTTCATATAGGCGACCAGACCGTAGAGCATCATTGTTCTCAAAATTTCCTGAATGAAATTTGGCTAACCAATTTTGACAGGTGCGTTCAGCATCATCTCCATAAACACTGCTTCTATAAGCTTCTGTAGCACACATACCTTTTTTAAAATAATATAACAAAATATGCCAAAAATGAATGATATTTTCTTCCATATTCACAGTGCAATAGCAAACACAATACTAAGCTAGTTTCAACAATAGTAAACAGATATAGTTGTTGAAATATCACAAACAGAATAAACAATCCGCCTTAGGAATTAATTCATCAGATAAGAAGTGTATGATAGTGACATAAAAATAAACAGAAAAACCGAAAAGACTTATTTGCCAACCCAACATGTCTATGTGTGTGATTCAATTTGTATAGTAAATATACACATGTCTATCCAGTTAATAAAGTTGTATGTATTGAGTTTTAATCTTTTATGATATGAAGTTTTCTTAATTATCCTCTGTAATCCGAACTTATTGGTGATCCGACACCACTCCACCCTGGAGCAAACAATTGAGATTGGTGTAACTTAATGTAGATGATGTGACATAATCCACTTTTTCAAAATGTGTGTTCATTACTTTGTGTTCCAGAATGTCCAGTTCTTCAGGGAGTAGAAATGAGGTGTAAGGAAGTGGCCAGTATGTCTGGAGACAGAGCACAAGTTTTTCTTCCACTTTGTAACTTACATCATATGTGCTACCTCTGTGTAAGTCGTTTCTGTTGGTATTTCACAAAAAAATTAATAGGTTTAACTTCTTAATTGTAATTGTAAGTATATAATTGTAAGTCTATTAATAGGTTCAACTTAATTGTATTCATATAATTTGGTTTGAAGAATATAAATATTAAAATTTGGATTTTTATTATATAAATAAACTAGTCCAGCAAGTGGGACCTGTCGTGGTCCTTTTTGCCAACCCCTGGCAATTACCTTGAATTCACTGCAGCACCCCTAACACAGTGAAAATTTCAAGATTCATTTCCCGGGGTCGCCAAGATATGAAAATTATCTGACCCAGGTGGGAATCGAACCCACAACGTTGAGAACCGGTCACTCTGGAACACATGCCCCAAAATGCTCGTCCATCCCTTCCTATAAAATTTGAGGGTAATAAATGTATTTAATCTTAATACTGCTTCATAAATGTTATCATATTTCTCTTCCAAAACTTTCAAATATTTTAATAACCATGTCAAAAATATTTAAATTGTTAATTCCATACTTGCTTAAATTATATATATATATTTTTTTTTTCTTTTCATTTAACAGCTATTATTTATCTTTTTATTTTTAATGTAGTTGATCTCTTCTTTACATATAATGATTTTCATTTAAAATCCATGTTTTCCGTAAAAAAGACAAAGCTAAAGAGAATTTAAAATGTTAATTTTGCTTTAAAATGAATATAGTTCTTATGAGAAAACTCCTTAAACATTTTAAGATAACTTCTTCATAAACTAGGTCTTCCTGAATTTCTAATGCTTTGTGAAACAGTGAAATATCTTTTTCTTATTACCCATTTTTGTGAACTTAAATTAAGGGTCATTTTTCAATATACAGAATACTTTTTCTATTTAAAAAAAGTTTGATGTATGGAACTTCGACTGTATATTATAATATTGTTATTTTGTTTAATATATGCTTTAAAGATTATTTAATTACAAAATCTTTCAAACATATGTTTTCTGCTGTATCTAATGTGTCAAACTGTATTAACAGGGTGCTGTTCTAAGAGCTGCTTCACCAAGAGAATGTGACACTGCCTTTCTTGAGGAGGCAGAGTCCGTCTGCAGAGAGGATCCGTCTTGTTACTACATGGCCAGAAGAACTCTTTCAGTCGCCCGCTCCTTGAAGCCGGATCCCAACCTCGTCTGTGATTGGAGGAACAGCCCCTGCCTTGCTCAGTTTCTCTCCCTAACCACCGAAAAATGATAAATCTCCGTTTGATTATTTCTCCTTGGTGTTTATTTAAATGTAGTTTGTTTCATGTACCCTGGCTCCCTGTTCTCCTGCCAATGCTGTGCGGTCTAAGGCCTCCCTGAAAGAGTGTGTGTAGCTATAAAGCTTGTGTGTGAAAAAAATACATGTGAAAAAATTGTAAAAAATACTTGATTTATATGTTAAGTAAATTTATTTCAGTTAAATAAAATGGAACCTTAAATACGTAACATTTTATTTCTATAACTGGTGACACCAGAAAATTAAAATATGCCACAAAAAAAAAATATATAGGAGAGCTCTACTTTACACAGCATACTTCCTTGAATGTTTTAATGAATATCATAACTGAGGGCTTTCAGCAAATTTTATTTAAAACATATTTAAAGCTTTTATTTATCTATTTTTTTCTGAAGTTGGAATTATAAAATATACACAAACATAACACTTTCCTGTAGATGTAATTGACAATATACCTTATCCCCGTCCAAGTAATATTCTGATTTTTCAAATGATAAAATATTAAAATCTTAAAATTTTCATTTTACCTTACTCCAAAATGGCTCTATTAATAGCATGACTATAGACAATACAAAGTATAAAAGTAGAATAAGTAATTGTCATTTGGTTTTCGAATTGAAGTGGATTGTTTGAAGGAAATTTTAAACTCATTTGAGTAGAATATATTGTATTTAGTTATTGAGAGTATAAATTGTAGAAATTCTGTGATTTAATAAATTAAAGTGGGAATTTTATTTCAATTCTTTCATTCATTTTGCTTGTTTGCCAATATCCATTTAATTGTAAATTTATGAAAATATATATGTTAACGTTAATTTATTTTATTGTAATGTATCTTCAAAATTACTGTTTGATAAATAACATAGAAGAAAGGATTTGTGTATTAATTTTTGCAAGGATGTAAACTTACTTTCTATACCACGAATAGGAAAAAATATTATTCAAGTACATACATTTCATGATACTAAAAATATTCTAATGAGTATACTACAAATAGTAGGCTAATGATTGTGGAAATATAGAAAATTAATATATTTTAGAAGGCATTTTGTACTTTTTTTTTACCTTTTAATTAATAATTATAGTTCAATCAAGTTGTATCCGATAAGTAACACCAATAAGGTAGTAATAACAGATCAGTTAAGAAATGATCATTACAAGCATTGATTGAACAGCGAATAACAATAATAAAAAATATGTTTAAAAAACAACCAAACATATAGTTCATTTTAAGTAAAATTACAAATGTTGCTTTAAATTTTTTTTTATTATCAAATAGACTTTTTAAATTGTAATAGAATGTACATCAGAGGATGGAAAAACAACCATGGCAGAAAATATAAAATTGTTTTTTAAAAATTAAAGTTGTACGCAATGAGAATAAAAATTTCAACAGGAAATACAATATTCTATTGTTATGTGCAAAAATTAAAAGAATAAATAAATCACTGAATAAGCAACAGTGATCAAAACAAAATGACATTTTGCATATTTGATTGTTATACTAACTTTTTAAAAATTAAAAGGATTCTTAATAAATAAAGATAACCTCACTTAAAAATGATTAATAATAACAATATTGTTTAGTGGAATGATAATATAATGAGATAAGTATAATATGATAAGCATACATTTATTCTTTAAAACTTAAATTTAGTGGATTTTTAAATCATAAAAAATAAATATTCATGGGCATAGGGTATACCAAAGGGTAGGAAGGCAAGTTTGGAAAGCTGCCGACATTCCTAACTTGAAAAACATTGAATAAATAAATAAAATTAATATAGGCAACAAATTTATAAAAACCTGATTCACAGCTATAGATTGAATATTTCAACATTTGGAAAGAATCTAATCACGAATAAGGGCACTCTATACTTAATAGATAAATTTAAATTAATAACGATTGTTTTTCCTTCATTATTATACAATAAGGTTCAAAAAGTAACACAGAAATTATTCAATGTGAAACTGAAAATGGTTTAAGGAGACGTATCCAATTTATATTGACAATCAAGTTTCCATAATAAACAACAAATATTCAATATTGGCTACGGATATACGGATCAAGACTTCATGAGTTATGAATGTAAGCTTCGTCAGCCCCAAGAGGATAGCATAACTATTTGAAGAATAAATTTGCTGTCACGTAAAAAAAATAAATATATAGATAACGGACTATGATGCCAGAAGGATTTAACTAAGATATTAAAAACTAGCACATTCAGTATAATTGATAAATGATTTAGGCTATTTCTTTAAAAATAAAAATAAAATTAATTAACTACAATAATAAATTAACAAGACAACAGACTTCTTATGAATAACACACAAAAAACTGGGTTCAATACTCATTTGAGAACAGTAACAGCAGCCAGAGATGCATAATATTAATAATTGATTAATATAATTAATTAATTTTATAAGTAGTTGTGTTCATAAACTTAGATTGAATTAAGGGATTTTTTTTAACTTTCATTTATTATTATTTTATTTTATTTATTTATTTCGCTCGCTGGAATCTAGAAAATAAGCAATGTATCATTAAGAATAGAATTATAAAATAAAATAAATTCAGAATTGAATAACATAAAAAAACCTTAAGAATCACTTCTTCAGAGAATCTTATCTTGCTACAAGTCAAAAAGACATTGTGGCAATATAGAGAGGTATGGATAAATATAATCCTCTGTAAAATAATCCATTAATTAAAATAGATTATATATATGAAAAAAGTTGTTCGATGGATTTCTGACAATAGGAGAAAAAATCTATAAATTATAAATAGATGAGATTTGTATTTCTGATGATGGAGATGAGAGAGTTAAAAAATGTATTGTAGGTGATTGTTAATTAATAAAAAGGAAGTTAATAAACAATTATTTAAGAAGGGTGATGAATAGTCAGGACGCAGTCAGTTTTTAAGATTTTCATTGTTGCTGACATTTCAACCCAAGCTTGTGGGTCATAATCACGGCATGTTTCCAGCAATGAAAGTGATCAAGCACTCAGTACCTGTAGTTCAAGTTCAACTTTTCAGTACTTGAACACCTTCGGTGCTGGTAACGTGCATTGATGAGGAGCCACAAGTTTGGATTGAAACATTGGCAACAGTACTTACTTACTTTCTTACTTAATCCAGTCCTCTTTGTTACCTCTTTCTGTTTTGCTTGTTGTAGGGCACAGTCCAGCACCAGAATAAGCAAGGGGGGAGGGGCTAAGGCTGCATCCCTATCTGATTCCTTGAGAATTCCTTTGATGTATGGTTGCGCATCCTGACAACATTTTTCTGTGTTTCATACAGACGAAGGATGGCTTTTCTCAATCCTATATGAACGCCATATTCTTCCAATGCTCTTGAGATGTCTACTTTCTGCTCCCTGTCAAATGCTTTATTTAACCTTCTGCTCTTTTCAATAACCTTCTTGGATATTTGCCTCATGATGAATATCAGATCCTGTGTGCTCCTGTTAGGCCGGAAGCCCTATTGTTCTTCCCATAGCTTATGTTCTATACGGCTTCTCAGCCACTTTTCGAGTATCTTGAAATAAACTTTGTAGAGGATACTGAGTAGGGATATTCCTCGATGGTTCTGACATTCACAGTTATCACCATTTTATGAAAATTGGTGTTATGATAGAGACTACCCAGTCCTTTGGAATAACTTTATTTTTCCAAAAGACGTTAAGGAGGTGTTGAAACAATTTGATTTCCTTCAAGCCTATATATTTCAACATTTCTGGCACAAAGCCAGCCGCTTTTTCCAGCTTTAATGAGCTTATAACATAAGCAACTTCTTCTCCAATGAAGTTATCTTCTTCCCAGATGTTATCTGTGCTGCGAGACTGTTGGTTCGCTTCCATTTCCTGCCCATTATATGCCAGTAATTCTTTGAAGTATTCTGCCCACCTATTTATAACGTTTTCTGGCCTACTCAGGATGTCTCCATTTTTGTCCTTAAAGTGCTTCAGCGCTGGTTCTTTCTGCTTCCTCATGCTCCTGAGACTTCTGTCTGGCTAGCTCCTCCACTACTTACATCATAGATGTAAAACTGATGCTACTGACCAAAGGCAGTGTTTTTCAATAAGGCACACCCATTCTGGCTGCTGTGGGAGCCCCTTCTCCTTTACCAGGGCTTGGTATCTGCGACTCCTCTCTATAGGAAAGTTGGTGGAGTTTGCCAACAGTAAAAATCTTAAAAACTGACTGCGTCCTGACTATATATCACACATGATATGTAGAACAGTGGACTAACTTCCTTCAATAATTATTTAAGAATAACTCTAGAATATTTTCGAATAAACATAACATATGAACATTAATTTAAATTGAATAAATTGGGGATATATCCTTATTAAAAAAATTATATACTTACTTTAAAATATAAAGTTTTTTCAATGTTGGATAGATAATTAATTATAACTATTTGCAAAGCCCCTATTGCATATTAATAAAAATTTAATAACATTCAAAAATATTTATTGATATTTTTCATGACTATTTATGATTGAATTTTTAAATATATCCATAACTTATCATTAATAAAACAAACTTGGAGGGGGGGTTTAGAGTGTTGACCTAAGATAAGATTCATTTAATACCGGAGTTGATTAGTATACTCAAAAGTGAATACAATGACTAGTTTAACCAGTGCTTTTAGAGAAGCTAATTCCCAAAGAGATTCCACTCTCAACTTTAATTTGAGTGGTATATACTATAATTATACAAATATATATTATTTTCAATGGATGAATAAAGTTAAAAGTAACAGGAATCACAAATCTTATAATTTTTACAGAAACTGATGACGATATTCAGATTTTTTCAAATCAAACTGTCATAACAAACCAACCATTCCCAACAGGTACTAAAGTTTTTACTTATTAATTTCTCTTTTTTTTCATTTATCAAAGTATTTTTTTCATTTTGCAAACAAATAAATAATTTATTTATGTTTCAACAAAGATCAGATTTTTATTTACTAAAATAATAAATAAATAAATTAAAGTGATATTTTCAACAATTAATGAAAGGCTCATAAACGGTAAAGGAAAAAACATTAACCATCAACATACCTTTCCTGAAAATTCTGCTCTATTTTGTTCTCTTCTTTCACCCTCTCTAAAATTTTAAATACTCTCTAAAAGTCTTGGCTACGACTGTATAAAAAATGGGACATGCTGCTATATCTTGTTATATACTTTTCTAGTTATAATGACATAAGAGTGAACAGACTTCAAGACAACTCCACTATTTTATATTTTCCAAAAATGACTATTTATCTAGAGCTTAATTTAGTCAAACTAATTTACTCAAATGATCAACATAGACCATTTTATGAAAAAAAATCCTATTATCTAAATTATAGTAATAAGTTGATAGAATATAGGGATCTCAATATAAATTCATCATTCTTCTGATCAAACATTAACTCAATAATAATAATAATGAATTCATTTTTTTTTTTAACTTTCTTCCATAAGTGTCCAATCTTACAAGATTTTCAACTTATTAGTTCACTATTTTTTCTGAATACCATGATTGTATGAGAAAATATTGGAAACGACATGACTCAGACTATTATCTTTAGATCAGTTAATTTAATTATTTTTGGGTATAAGTGATCTCTTAAATGCCTTCTTTGTATTCATGAAAAAAAATTCATAAACATAAACGTTTTTATATTTATGGAAATCTTAATAGTAATGAATTAATCCAAAACATTATTTTGTATATAGATACCAAACCTGAAAAATGTTTAGACAAAACGGACTATGGCATTCTGGAAGAAAGATTCCAACACTAACTATTGATATTTATTTATTTAGTGATGGGTAATATTTTACAGATAATTCCTGATTGGGCAAATACTAAAAAATCATCAAAAATAAGTTCATAAAGTTAAATTGTGCAGAATGTGAAAATATTTATTAGCAATATAGCAAAACTAATCGAAAGGTCAGAGTATTATAAAAATAAGTCTTTGTTTCAGTTGAATATTATCTGTTTTATATTCAATTATTTACCTAATTTTGTTTTAAACTGTAAAACATGTGAGTAATTATGAAATCACTATCTGAAAATTTGTCTGAACTGCGAAAATTGCGTTGGATATTATGATTGCAAATGTTAGGAATTTATTAATTTTTCCTTTAACCTTGCCTCTCAGCAGTACAGGTTTCTATTGATGTTTAGCAAAAAATCACAAGCCCCAAAACAGCAAGTTTTACATACACAACACTTTGGCACTAACTTTTTTTTTTTTTTTTTTTGTTCTCCCCTTCCTCACTTTTAGGCTATATGGGGGTTTTCTCGAACCAGAGGATGAAAGCAGTGGATTAATGCCAAGTTAAAAGACCTCTTTCGTACCAGAACGCTATCATTTTATCGTATAACTTCGGTTATCAGGTTGCCAGCCAACGTACAGTGCTGTACACAGATGTGTTAGCCTGCTTGGCTACCCCACCCCTACTTTGGCACTAACCTGATGATATATACACTAGGTAGTATAGTAATATAAGATGGATAACAAAAAAAAAACCATATGGTGGGCAGGAGACTAAGGGGAAGACCCCACATCTATTTAGAATATAGTGTTAGAAAGTTGTTTGGAAGCGAAGCAATAAAGAAGAGAACTGTCCAAGATATGGATAAATAGAGGGGGGAGGGTGTGGTGGCTGAGCAGACTAACACAAGTGCAAAACATTCGTTGCCCAGCAACCTTATAAACCAAAGATTTACAAGATAAAATAATTACTAGTTTGCGTCCCAGTGCAGGGGAGGGTCTTTTAACTCTTGTATTAATTCTCCACTTTCTCCTCTGACCTTAGAAAACCCCATATAGCTATAAACAAGAAGGAAGGGGATGAAAAAAAAGATAGAGATAACTGGCCCAGAATTTGCAAGCAGTAACAGCACATTGAATAGCATGGCGGTACTTGAGGAAAATATAATAAGATGATGATGAGTAATAAATAGAATCATTCGTAAGAAGGCCTTAATATATATATATTTTTTAAATACATCAACTGGTAGCAAATTTTAGTCAGATTTAGTAAGATAAAAAGTAAATTGTGTTAAAAAATTTATTTATGGTACTACATGAAGAAAATATTGAAAACTAATTCATAAGATTTTTTTCAGATCAAACATCTAGGAGGATTCCTCTTCCGATTATATCAGGTAGCAATGGTATCATAATTAAATTAATATATCTGAAGATTTCATTTAACACATTTTATATTCAGGCAGGCAAGAACATATCCTCCCTTTCTGTGGAATTCAGCTCTTATCAGATGTAAGACAGTTAGAAATACAACAAACAATAGATTTTGAAGATCGTAAGTTGTGATAATGACCAAGACCTTAAAATTATGCTTAATTAATGAAAAACGATATTGATATTTTATTATTTATTTTGTTGTGTGTTAAATATTAAATTTAATTACATGTTTTCTTGTAGTCTAAAAATTTGCAAATGATATTCACTAAGAGTAGTTTTTTATTAACTTTCTATTAAATATAGAAATAGAAATAGAAATAGAAAATTGATTTTATTCTGGGATGGAGTCATTTAAGAATAACAGAAAGTTACAGAGCAAAGGAAATATATCTGGCCAGAAGTATTTAAATAAGAAACTACATTAAACAAGAAAAGTTACATTAAATAAATATAAAACCTTTTGTAAATTCACAAAATATACTAAAACAAATTAATGGAACTATATACAAAACATTTAAACTATATAACATATAAATAAGAATGAAACCAAATAACCCCTGCTTAGCTAAGAAAATAAAGAATAAATAATAATAAAAAGAGATAAACAAGAAAGGAAAAACAGTTATTATTAAATAAATTCCTCAAATAGATGAGTACCAAGTAAAATAAATAGCGTAAAGTAAAATATAAAGAAATAAAGATTTATCTATTTCATCTTAATAAAAATTAAAAATTAATAACAAAAATAGTGTGAAAATAAATAGATTTAGATGGAAATCATTTACAACAGAAATGACTGATATTTAAAACAGAATGAATGCATGAAAAATATATATATGTACATGTTCATAAGTACACATATGTATAAACAAGATAATGAGAAGGAGAAAAAAAAAAATATATATATATATACAGGTGGAAAACATTGATTTTTTTAAACAAGCCACTGAAACTTAACTAAAAATGGTTAGCCATTTTCCAATTGTTTTGTCAATAGAAACTGGAATAGAAGGGTTTTAAAAGTGGATAATGAGGGATCTTTTATAAGAAGGGAATTCCAAAAATTATGGGAGCTGGCAACAAAGGAGTTTTAGAAAGAGGTAAATCTGTGAAAAGGGGTATAAAGGTCGGGATCTTGTGATAACATGATGTTATAATATAAGAAAATACATTATGAATAATCATATAAAATTATTCTTGTAAGTTATTGTGTTTAAGCAAATTTATTTAATCTAAAAAGTAACTGAGTCATGCCTAGAGATATTTTTTATAATTTATTATAATTGTTTAAAGATTATACTTATATTTTTATTTTTATAGTGTACACATTAATTGATTCCGAAAACAAATACTTGGTTAAAGCTGAAAATGGTGAAGTTTTATTTGGTACAACAGAGGGTTCTTCAAGCTGGCAGAGGTTATTATGTTGCTCATCTCGAAGATTTATTTTAAGAGTGTTTGACAAAGCTAGGCAAGAAGCTCTTTTCTGCATCAGGAGGCTTGCACCAACAAATCCATTACTCAGTTGTTACCTTCAGGAAAGCTATATTTTTAATTTCTATATCTATGACTATAAATATATATATTTCTATCCTTCCATAAATTCATAACTATCTAAGCTACCAAAAGACAACACTAAATTAATTTTACCTATTTCCGAAATTTAAACTAGGTCAATAGGAATGCATACATACCCTAGCTATTTGCAAAAAAATACAATCCAAAATTTACTTTAAAGGAAGAGGTTTTAGTGTGTAGAGGTTTTAGGACGATAAACAGTGAGATTACCTAGCCCTTCAGGGGCATTACTTTGAATCAAGAGTTATATTCATATCAAACAAAGCATACACTTAAATATTTCTCCGGCTCTTGATAGGCTTTTTGATTTAGTTATTAATTTAGGTAGAATACCAAATTATGGTTACAGTTTATGTATATACATAATATAATAAGGAGTGGGATAGTTCAGTAGGACACTGCCCTCCTATGCTCCAAACCAAGAATGTCGTTTGATATTCAGCCTGAAATAATAAAAAATAAATATTTATAAATTTTATATCAAGAAACCATGATATATGTTTAAATCAAATTCAGAGGCATAATTATTTGACCATATTACAGAGAATGGATGTCTTCATACCACAATGTGAATACATTGGTTGTATTCAACAAGAATGGAATCCAATCAAAATTAAACTTGTGATTCGAAATTGTGAACATCAAAATATATTCCACGTCAATGGACCATTGTGTACGACTTGTTCCTCATTTAAAGAAGAAGATTTTTATGTAATTAACAATAATATAGCATATTTGTATTATTTAATAACCTCCCTTGTGTTTTCTAATTTTTTACTTAATTTAGGTATTCAGCTATGATCTACCTCAGTCTGTTTGCAACATAAGTCGCAGATGGAATGAATTCAAAGCAACATATAGTTTGTTCTTAACATTTCAAGAAAATCTGAATAACACCCATAAAGCATTAATACTGGCATGTGCATTTTTACTTGTAAGTTAATAATCATAATTAATAAAAATGATTAATTGTTAACCTAACCAATCATACTTTTGTAATTTATATTTCAGGAATACATATACTTTCAAGCTGGCATACCAATTAAATGCTTCCATTGAATAATGATGGATACTATATACTATTGGTCGATCTACAATAGAAATCATCTGACTGTGAAGATAACAACAAAACCTGAATGATTTAAAACATCTGTATAGAATATGATGTGAATATAAAATGGTTACCAACATTTTTCATATAAAGACTTAATATATTGTGGTCAGGACATATTAAAATACATTTTTCACAGATTGATTTGAAAATGGGTCATGTAATATATTTTGTTTATATATTTTTTGATAGATGGGTGGTAAATATAGTTTACAAGTGTTTGTTGTTGTCATTTCTCAAACGAAGTACTACAAAGGATATACACCAAACTGCTCCAATCATAATGCACTGGTGTTAAGAATTAAAACTGAAGGTCAATTTGGTAGTTTGTTTGTTTGTTTGGGCTTTAAGGTGTATCAACGCCTGTGAGTCAGTTAATGGTTGTTTTCTATTGAGTTCAGAAACTCTTTAGAAGAGAGAAAAAAGAATAAATGATCAAAAAACTAATAATAATTAAATAGAATAATAAATAAAAATATTTAAAAACATATGAAAAATTAAATAAATTAAGATAAAAAATACAATAAAATAAAAATTATATTCATTTCTATATTTTATCTAATAGTCTATGGATTTTAAGAAAGTTTATAACTGTTTAAATGTTTGTTTCCTTATTGTTTAATACTATTGATATATTCGGTCCAAGAGATAATCTGGTTAAACTTGATGTACAATAAGGACATTCCTGGAAAATATGAATGATAGTGAGATGGCTATTGCAGTGTTGAAATTTTGGTGGTGACTGTTTAATAATGAGATGTAAATGAGTTAGGTTTGTGTGTCCTATTCTTAACCAAGTCACTTTGGTTTTATTTCCTCCTTAACTTTAATAAATTTTACTGTAATCATTATGCTGACTTAATAATTTAAATCCTGAGCTGAAAATCAATATGGACCCATAAATTCTTGACGGGATTAAAATATGAACTCTGGGGAAAAGTTTCAAAATCATTTGAATAAATCAAGCAATTCTTCATATGTGAGGAAAGTTTTTTGTTCAGGATCATTGTTTCCAAAGAACATTCCTAATTCTGTTTTTGTTGATTTAACTCTTAAATTGCAAATAAAAATATTAACATATTTAAATTTGCCTTGATTCACTAGGCGTATGGTCATACTGTAAATCTCTCCATCAACTGTGGTAGTCCACAGATTTTTCAATTTTTATTCTTCTTTAGATTTATTACTCCTAATAGATATAATACTTGATCCAAACGCATTGAATAAGCTCTAATCTACAAATCCATGTTAGTTTTATAAATGTATATTGACTAATTACATTTTATTATATACTTAATTTTGTATATTTATATGTTTAAAAAATTTTTCTATTTTTATTTTATTTTTTTATATTAATCTGCATAATTACAGTTGAGATAGCACAATTACAAAAAAATGTTTATATATCGAATAATTGAAATTTGTTGGTAAACAATTACTTTGTATTTATATTTTTTAAGCCAGAAAAATAAGATATAATAATGTACATAAAAACCTATTATAGTAACAATTTAACAAATAATATTATAATGCATTTTTTTAAATTATGAAATAAAAATTAATCTGATCCTCAAAATCATGAAAATCTTAAGATTCTCTACTATTTCAATGGAATACTAAATATATACAATTCTGTAATTGATTACATAAAACTTGTTCAACTTTTTGAAAAATTACTTGTATCTTCTTGAGCTCGTACATATTATTATTAATACAAAATATATTGTTAATGCATCTGTCTTCTACTTACTATTAAAACATTTTTACTTATTTAACAGTTCAAAAATGCCATGCGAGATCTGGTTTTTATTTCATAATAGATAAAATAAATAAAGTTTTGCCTAGTAAAACAAATATCAAAACACTTTTATACAGAAGGTAACATCTGTTTTAAAATATTAGGCTAAATTTAAAAATAGTATACATACATTCAAAGATATACTAAAAATCAATACTTGATATTAAAATTAAATAGGGATAATCAATAATAGAAAATAGTATCATAAAAATTAAATATTAACAAAACATTACTTTGTAAATAAATATTAATTTTGATAACATTTTGTTTTGGTTGTACTTATTGGTTATCCACTGGAGAAATACTAACACTAACAGTAAAAATATAATAATATTAATTAAGTTATGCTGACATAAATATTAAATAGAATCATATTGAATAATCTGTTTTATTAATTTCCTTTACTTTTATGTAAATTAAAATTAATGTATTAAATCCAAAATTTATGTATGTAATTTTGATTTATTCAAATTACTTACAACAATGGCATTACCACAAAATGAGATTGTCTTTAGGGGCCATGTAGGTAAGTTTGAACAAAAAGAAGGAGATGGAGAAGAAACATTCAAGGGAAGACAGGTATATTTTAAAGGGTGCAAGATCTTACAAATCGCTACAGAATGTTTAAATATTTACGATGTTCTAGGCATTGGAATATTATATTGGCAATTTTAAAAGAGATGCATACAATGGACACGCTAACTATTTCGCTAATTCGATAAAACGTGGTTTGTGGGCTTATAGTGGCAACTTCTGTTCCAACAGTATCGAAGGATATGGGGCTATGTCTTATGGTGATGCCACTTACTTTGCTGTAAGGAATAATCATTATTACATATAACGGTGTTGTAAACATGAATTTTTGAATATTCAAAATATACAATAGTTATTTATTATTTAATTATATAAGCAAGTATTATTTTGTCAGTTTATTGCAAAAAATCACTAACTACATTTTTTATGGAGTCAAACTTTTACATATAAAGAATCGATGCCTTGTAAATAGATGTTAGTCTTGAGAAATTTAAAAATATGTTTTAACTCAAAATTCATCCACCAGAGTTGTAATAGGTAGCATGTGGAATATGATGAGTCAGAGTCTTTGTAGACATGGAAGAGATGAGGGGCGGCTTAAGATTGTTTCTGAGTTCAACAGCTATAAATACATATTGACTTGGAATGGTAGTCATCCATAAGATGTGTATCATTTATGTAAATAATAGCATTGATTTATTCTTTTATATCAATATAATTAAATATTCAAAATTAGAAAAGGTTAAAGGCGTAAAGGATTGTAGTTATTTTATAATACCTATGTTAAATTATAAACAGTATTGATTTAGAGCTAAAAGCAGTATTAGCTGGCTGAGTCCATGTTCAGATACCTTCAGTTGCAGCTGAAGAACTGCGAGAGAATAAACCCTTAAAAATACCGCTGAAGTCAGACGTATTTGACCAAAAGGCACAAAATAGTCTCCAAACATCTTTCATGATGTTTTGGAAAGCAAGTTACCATGCAATACTTCCCAAATATGCTCCAGTGACAGCCTGAATGGAGAGAATGAAAAAGAAGAAGAAGAATTTATTAAATTTAACTTTATTTAATAATAATTATTTCATTTTAACAATTTTTTTCAAAAATCCTAATTAAGTTGTCATTTAAAGGTTTAAAGGTTTTTTATTACATGTCAGTGTTTAAAATCATTTTTACATACGTGTTGTATTTTAGTTTCTTTCTTCTTCTTCTGCTTTTGTGGCACTAAAACTCGTGTAGAGTCAGATCCTCCTGCAGGGCCTTCAACCGCCAGTCATCTCTAGAAAATGCAACCACCTTCCGATCATGGGAACCAAGGATAGCTTGAGCATCTGTCTGTTTGCAATTCATCAGTCCAAGTTTTGGTCTGCCTGCCCGTCATTTTGTGTGAATTCCTTCTTCTAATAATGTTTTCAATTTGTGTCACCAACGAACCTGTCTAGTTCATCTTAATCTGCCAATCCTTATTATTCTCAGAACATCGGCATCTCGATACAGCTCCTGCAGCTCATCACTTGTTAGCTTTCACCATTTCTGGTTTATATTGAGTATTAAGCCATATATTCTTCTTAGAATGAAGCATTCAAAACTAAGTTTTTATTTTGATATCTTCAGTATACATAAATTGTCAATGTTTGATTGGAATAAGATTTTTTTTTCTTTTAAATTATTCAGAAATTCAATATTCTTATATTTTTTAATTTTGGTTTTAAATATAAATATAAAAAGTAATATATATATTGTAATATACACCTTTATTAGAAGTTGGTAAAAATGGTTTAGTAAATTAATACTGAACAGTTAAAAGCAAACTAATCTTTGTTTTTTTTTTCTTCTCCCCTTTCTCGCCTTTAATGCTATATGGGGTTTTCGTGGGTCAGAGAGTGTGGGAGGGGATTTAAAAGACTTTCGGGGCACTGGACGCCAATTTTGTATCATATTACGGCGGGGCTGTCACACGCGTAAGCCCGTTTGGCCACCCCGCCCACTAAGGCAAGCTAATCTAGTTCTGGTAATGTCAGGGAATGTTTACACGATTAAGTAGTTTCACTAGTTCAGGAAAAAGAAAATAGCTGCTCTGGAGTTTCCCCAAAGAAGAAAATGGATGCCAGGGGATGAACAAAGGAGTTCAGTTCTTGTTTGACTGGATAGAAGAGAGGATGTGAAAATAGCCAGTGGATGCAAAATTTAATGCCATACAACTTTGATTCTGGGGGCGGGGTGGCCGAATAGGCTAAAGCGTGTGCACAGCACCGCTAGTTGCCTGGCAACCGGATAACAGAGATTTGAGATGATATAAAAAGTACGAGTTCGCGTCCCGGTGGCGGAGGGGATTTTAAATTCCCCTCCCTCACCCCCCCGGCCCGGGAAAATCCCGTATAGCCTAAAAGGCGAGGTAGGGAAGAACAAAAAAAAAAAAAAAAAAAAAAAAAAAAAAAAAAAAAAAAAAAAAAAAACTTTGATTCTATGGGTTTTTCCTCTTAGGGGACTCATTTCCATGTTACAGGACCATTCATAGTAATTTGTCTCAGTTTTTGACAAATTTTGTAAAAAAAAAAAAGCGTTGGTTGACGGTGGTTTTATACATTTTTCCATTGTCATGCGTATTAAATTAATTAGTTTATGTAGCACTCCACTTTTCATTAGCATTCTCAACAGAGATGATCTCTTGATGCTATCAAATGCCTGCTTGTAGTAAATGAATAACAAGTGCAGATCAATGTCATACTCGTAGCATTTTTCCATCATTTGTCTTATAACAAAAATTTGATCCGTTGTACCGCGGCCAGCTCTAAAACACACTGGTAATCATCTAAAATTTCCTCAGCATATCTTCGCAGTCTTTTCAATATTAAACTAGACAGGAGTTTATACAGGACTCCCAATAGTGTTATTCCTCTATAATTTGTGCACTGATCCTTGCTGCCTTTTTTAAGAATAGGACATATTAATCCAATCCTCCAGTCATCCTGCATCTTTTTCTCTCTCCATACGTCACATAGCAACTCATATATTAAGGCCTTCATTTTACCACTGCAGCATTTAATCAAATCCGCAACTATCCTGTCCTCACCGGGAGCTTTACAGTTCTTCAAGTCCATGATGGCAAACTCAATATCCTCTCTGTCAGGCTCATCAACTAGGCATTTTGGTTGCCACACCTGACATTCTTATCCACTCTCAACATCCTCCACCTCCAGACCAATGTTCAGCAATTCTGAGAAGTGCTCGGTCCAGCTGTTCATCACCTCTCCTTCTCCATCCAAAGCCTCTCCTGTTTTACTTTTGCAATTATTCAGCTTCGGCTGATACTCTTTCCTGAACCAATTAATTTCCTTATAAAATTTCCTGCTTTCATGCAAATTGTTCCACACTTCTATATTTTCAAGCTTTTTACAGATCATTTTTCTTTTTCCCTCTCTACATACTTTCTTAGCTGCTCTTCTTTTCATACTGTAGGTCTCCTGGTTTTGCCTTGTGAACCTCTGTAAGATCTTCTGTCTGGCTTGATTTTTCTCTTCAATGGCTTTTGCACATTCTTCATTTCTTCCATTTGTAATTCCTCCCAATGTCTCTTCCACTGCCTTGCTTATAGCCTCCTTCACAACTTTCCATTTCTTCTCAATTGGCCCACTCTCCTCTTCTGAATTGTTTTCCTTTAACTCTCCTCTCTCCATCTCTCTATCCATAACCTCCTGAAAATTTCTTAGTTTGTTCTCCACTTCTAATTTTTCAGCGCCCCATTTAGTTCGCTTGATAGTTTCCGCTCTTGCCTGAATCCATATATTCAAGTTAATTTAATAATGGATTTCCTGTTTAGATTCTCTAATTACTGGCCTAATATTCTTTAAACTAGCCGCCATTTTTGAAAGCAGCGGCTCTGAAACGGCAGACAAGGTTCTTTTTACTCAAATAACATACAGTTTCATAATTTACAATCAAATCTGCGCCTGCGATGAAGTCGATTTTTGGGCCCTGGCTCCAGGGCTAAAAGGGATCCTGGCTCCAGTGAGTAAAACCCAGTAATGGTGTTACTATTGGATGAATCCATAAGTTTGTTCGGTTTTTGTTAGTAGTGTGAATTGTTTTCAAATATCACCAGTTCTCTTTGCCTTATCTGACAATAATGGTACTTATCAGAAAAGTCAAATGCCGCTCTTCAAAACTGTTGTGTTTGGTTTCATTGGCATTAGTTTTGTTTGTGCTACAACTTAGTGAATGTGTCAAATGATAAAATGCATTTTCGACATATTTTGCTTTTCTATTTAAAAAAAGACAAACGAGCTTCAGATGTCCACCAAAAGGTATGTAAGATGTACAGGGGAAAATGCCTTAATTGAAGGTACTGCTCAAAAATGCTACAGGTTGCTACAGTTACAAGAAATTGCAGAGACACTGAAAAAATGTTTTGGAACCATTGAAAGGCATTTAAAACAGCTTGGCTAGGTGTCTCCCCTCGATCTACGGTCATCGAGCTACGGTCCCACAAACTGACTGAGGCAAACCTGAACCAGCACAAAACAAGACACTCTCAATCCAATAATAAAGGATGGATCATCTACGACAATGTAGTGCGCAAGAGATCGTGGACAACTGCTGACAGCCACCTAATGCCACCCCGAAGGCCAAAAAATATTTTGTTCTCTATATGGTGAGATTATTATAGCGCCATGTTGTCCTATCAGTTTCTTCCACGAAGAAAAATGATTGAACCGATGATCTACTGCACACAGCTAACGAAATTGGACCAAGCATTGCGACAGAAACACCCAGAACTAGTCAATTGCAAAAGTGTTGTATTCCACCACGATAATGCCAGACCGCACTCCGCAATAATCACACAGTAAAAGTTAGTGCCACTTGGCAGCAATGTTTTATTAAACCCACCATATTCAGGAGATCTTGCACCACCTGACTACCACTTATTCTGGTCCCTTCAAAAATCCCTCACATGAAATTGTTCGCTGATTAGAGAGATGTGAAAACTCTCGAAAATATCTCGATCAGTTTTTCACTTCTAAGCCCCAGATATTTTACAAGAGTGGAATAATGAAATTGTTAGAAAGATGGCAAGAGGTCATAAAAAAAACAACGGCAAATACATTATAGAATAAAATTTATTCTTTATATGAAAAATACTGTATGCTACCAACGAAGATAGAATTGTTATAAAGGTTAGATTGCCAGTTTATGTGACTAGTGACAAATGAAAATAGTGTTATGTATAAACAGTTTTTAGTTTTCTAAGAATTTTGATCTGATTGTCAGTAACCCATACCTGAGATCAAATAATTATAAATTTGAGTTTAATATATCAATATTCTTATAATTTTGTTTTTTATTTAACAATCTCTTATTTCTTTTGGGAGTGATCTTCCAGGAGTTTATTATTAGTAAAAATAAGGACATATTACAATATATATATGATTTAATGTTATTATATTTTACTTAATAACTTTTTGCAATAAACCAACAATTTATCCAACTATGAAACTGCCAGAACTAAATTCTATATTATTATTGGTATCATATTACATGTTAATGAAGCTTATCCTACTGAAATCAATCTTTAATCAATAATTAAATAAGGATTATACATTCAATAATAAAAGATATAGGGTCCTTGCTTGTCTTTTACAAAATAAATCCGATAAATCAACACCAAAACCCAGTAAATATATCTTTTAAAACATAATTGATACAATTCATAATTACTTTTTATTTTGTAATCTGACTTATTTTATAAAGTCGATTCTTTTGCACATACTTTAGAAAAAATAGGGCTTGGAATGAAAAATTAATTTTTATTTTAATGGAATTATAATATGACTGGAATATTTTTTATTGTTTTAAGTTCTTTTGGAACTAGAACGTTTTATCATGGAATTAAAAAAAAATAGTTTTTTTTTATTTGTTAGCTACTGAAACTAAAGAAACATAAGAATTAAGCAATCGATTGAAGAAAAGTTATATCTGTAATGTAATCTCACTTTGTATTTATTTCTCATTTAACATAATATTTTTATGAGTAAAACTTTAATTACAATAAATCCAGAACTTTATTGTAATCTAATCTAATCTAATCTAAGAAAAGTTACTTAGAACTTTATATTACAACTTTTTTCTATAAAATAAAAAAAGTTCTTATGAAACTATTAAAATCAAACTTTTTTAAAAAGTTTAAATCACTGGAAATATAAAGTTTTGTTTTAAAATTAGATAGTTGTATAAATTGAATTAAAAAGGTTTGGCTTGAGTATAACTAGATTTTTAAAATCAGGTTTCTCATTATTTTTTATCAGGAATTTGTTGGTACAAATTGGTTTTATCCATACAAGGATGTTAATGTAGAAGATACTGATTATTATGATTTTTGTATTTTTATCATTAGCAGCTTGCAATTTTTGTTTTTGTTTTATTAGATGTATATATTTTTTAAAGCTTATTACAAACAATATCTTATTTTGTGTAGGATTGACTTTATTAAATGATTGACGAAACAAGTATGTGATAGTCTTACTTACACATGTACTGTCACCAATATCAATTTCTATACTTATATCAGTTTACTACACAAATTTAAGTGTTAAATTTGTAATGTAAACAAATAATTCAGATTCTTTTTATGTTTTTTTTTAGAGGCATAAATAAAGAAGAAATGTCAGTGATTTTCCTACAATTAATATATTGTAAGACAATGGATATACTACAAAATTGTAGTATGGTAAAAATGTAAGATGTAGATTAATACTTAAAAGTAGTAAAAAGAATTGAGTTTAAGAAGATTTAATTGGTTGGAAGGATCTTCAAATAAATATCAGTGACATTAACATCCATGTTGACCATAAAATGGTTCTATCCAAAACACATAAATGATTTTAGAATAAATAAAACAATGTGTTTGCCCTTAAATTTGTAGATAGAAGATAATATATTAAGATTCTTTTTCTATAAAATGGCAGATATTAGATAATAAAGTTAATAAAAATGTTTCTAAAATAATCACTTAAAATCTTGAGCTTCTAATTTATTGGATTTTACTTTGTTTCATGCAGCTGTATACATGTTACATATAGATAAATTACGATAAAAAAAGGAATTTTTAAGGAAAATTTCCAAGGTCTCTCATTTGACTGGATTAAAACTTCTTTGAAACTTTTCTTTAAAAAAAAATTCAATTTTAACAGTTTCTGAGAAAATGTTGGGCAAAACTTTTTACAATTAAAACATGTTATATTTATATTACAACTGTAATAATGTTTTGGATTCATTGTAAGAGTTCCATTTTCCTTTATTTAAGTTCTTTAAAAAAAAAAAAAGCTACATTAATGAGTTATATACTTAGGCTTAGATTAATATAGAATATATCGCCTGGTTCTTGCATTTTTTTATTTTTTAATTTTTTTTTATTATTTTTTTTTTTTTTTTTTAGTAGCTAAGAATTTACTTCACAATTAGCATTTTTTAGTTTTAGTTTTTGGAAAAATAATTGCTTTAACAAGATTTTTAAACGGACGTTTTTTAAATAGAAGTTTTTAAAACATTAAATTGAAAAATTCCATGAGGTAAAGTTCTGGTTTTGAAATTTCAGAAAAGCAATTGAAAATAAAGATTCCAGGCATATCAGAACTTATTTAAAATAAAAGTAAACTTTTTGAACAGTAGAAAAAATATATAAAAATATTATATGATCAATAAACTTATATATCTAAGATAAAACAAGTTTGATTCAGTTTTAGCTGAATTCAGATATCTTTAAACTTTTTTGGTCCACAGAACCTTTTTCTCCTTATCTTAAAAATATTTAAACTTTTATTAAAATATTTTACAGAATTCTTCTTTATAAAAATAAACATTCACGAAAATTTTAGGGTTCATTTTAAGGACACATATCAATATTCTATTATATCCCAATAAAATATTGTAATAAAGTTCAGTGTTTATTGCAAATATATACAATTATTAATATATAAATATTGTTGGTGCAGGTAAGTTAGAAGATGAGACTGGTTTACAAACAATTATAATTATGAGGAAACATTCCTGTGGTTTCCAAAAAATGTTTAGGTGTGTATCTAATTTTTATAAATGCCAACAGAAATTTAACAACCATTTAAAAAGATTAAAGGTCAAATTTATAAACTAATTCTAATTTAATATAGGATGTTTGATATATTAATATTTAACAGAGGAATAGATCATACCTTTCATAAAGCTAAAATAATAGTTCTAGTAACAGCTAAAAGAGGCCAGCAACATCCAAAATATGTGCCAATAGTTTTAAAAAGCCTAAAAAGAAAGCAGCACCTTCCAAATAACAATCTTAATAATAGTTTTGGTTACTAAACATAAAAAGTTAATAGTTTAAATATCCACTAAAAGGTAAAAATACCTTTCATAAAATTTAGAATGATGCTTTTAATTATCTAAAAAAGTAGCCGATAAAAATTATAATTATGTTCAACTATCAAGAATTGCAAGATTCTATCATAAAAATAAAATGGTAATAATAAAACAGAGATACTGATCTTCAAAAACTGAATATTTTTAATAATAGGTCTGTATGGACACGAAATGTGACCATCAGTAAAATGGTAACCACATGCCAGTTTGCTTGGTAGTCATACTTCCTGTTGGAACAGATCTATTACTGGCAGAATGTATAGATTGATTTAAATTGCAAAACAAATAAAAACAAATATTTTCCAAATGTTAGAAAGGATTCAATATTTTTTGCTGTATGAGTATTATTTATTAGATAATAATAAGTTGACTTTTATTTTTTTAAATATATATTTACTATGGAGAAGAAATAAATGTTGAAGTAAAATTTTTAAAAAGTTATTTATGTTTTATCCTGTGCCTACAAGCCCCAACCATATATATTTATTTATGCCCAATGATCTTGGGGAGTGGGGTACTTCAATAGATAGAACACTGATTTCCAAACTGGCACAAGCAATACATAATCTTCAATTATACATGAAATTGAATATCACTAAACTATATCCAATAGCTGGATAAAACATGTATTTATTTTGAACATGTATTAGGTTACGGAAGATATAATTTCATGTGGAATCTTGTTTTTTTCATTTGGAATCTGAAATTTTTATTCCTGAGCTTAGTCTTTCAGAAACGATAATCTGTTATGCATTATTAAAAATTATTGTCAATTTCTAAAAAACTGTTAATTTATTTGATAAATTCTTAATTGTTTAATTAATTAGTATTGAGATATCAATATATTCATACAATATTTTATTAAATATCAAAATTAATAAATATGCAGATTTATATTAAATTAAATAAGACAACCCTTTATCAACAATTTTACACAAATTTAAATGGACATAATACCAGACTAATAAGAGACATGGTCACAGCTGACTTACCTCAGATCATGAGGTGACTAAAAAGGCGTTGGATGAGGGATCTCCTTTCTTAAACAACCTAAGTAATTGGAACACGTTAGGGAAGAGGTACTGCTGAGTACTTTCATTCCCCATGCCTGTCATGTCATTATCTCATATATCGCCATCACATTTGCTGATTGTCAACAATAAGTTTACAGGCACAATATATTTTTTATAGGCAAAAAATAAATAAATAAGATACTTTATTGATAAATTCATAATTTAAAATCTTCAAAAAAAAAGTTCAAATTTGTAGATATATATTGCATAAGTAACTATAAAATTAAGCAAAATATTTTATTAATTTAATAATTATTTCTAAATGTTCAGGGCCTATTTAAAGATGACAAACCATTTGGTCCTGGTGTTTTAACATACGCAAATGGCAAACAGGATGTTGGTATATGGCATGGCTCTCAGCTATATAGACTTTGTACAACAGTTGGTTACATTGAAAAACTTACCAACTCATCACGAGACAGGCTTCAAGTTACAAAATTCAAAAAGTTAATCGCAATAAATGAGGTAAGTTTTGAAAATATGCAATGTGGCTCAAAAATCTTGAAATTGTTTTAAAATGAAATAACTTTTCAACCTCAGGAGTCTACAGCTGGCAAAAGATTTTGGAAAAAATAAATTAAATAATCAAATGAAAAGTTTCAAAAAATATTTTGTAGATTGAGCCAAAAATATTTTTCAAATTGCTGAAATTATTGTTACTGTTGATAATATTGAAATGATTTATTCATATTTCCTTATGATTTTTTTTTTTTACTTGAAAATGGATGCAGTAGTCATCTGAAACATCTTTTTAAACAAAAAAAAGAAGATAATTATAAATATAAAGGATTGATCAAACTTCTATGAGCCTTATTGAAATAATAGTAAAGGTACCCTTTAATTAGAAAGTAGTAATTGTATTTGAATAATTTAGATTTATTTTTAATTTTCTTTTATTTCTGTGAAATAAATAGTACCAATTGTGAAAATGGTTTAATTTGTGTTCTGTCTAAAGTATCTATTAATTCATACTGGCACCTTGGTATATATCCAGAATTTGATGAACATTGTTAAATTATTAATAGGCTGTCAGAGTGAGGAGAAAAGTGCCACATCTGTTTTTTAAAAAAATATTAATACATTTTTAAATTAATTTAAAAAATATTCGGATATTAGATAGACTTGAGCCACTATGTATTAGAAAAAAAACGATTACCATTTACATAAATTATATATCAGCTATTTTTTTAATCTAGCCTCCAAGAGACATAGCTACAGCAATACTGAGGTCATTTGGGAGCAGTGATGACGAGATTGATCCATCAATTTTGTACTCACGATTTTGTAAAGATCCTAGAAGTTATTTATATGACCATAATTATTTTGCTAATGAGTTGGATGACCTCAAAGAAGTAGAAGAGTCTTTAAAAGAAGAGAAATTTGGAGTTAATCAAGCCGATACCAATACACTAGCAACAAAGTTTGTAAATGTAAGAATTTATTTTTTATAAAATAATGTTACTTTCTGATATTTATAAAAATATTTTTCAATATTGTGTCTATTACATTTTTTTATTATTCTCTCTTTCTGTATCACTATTTATATAATATGGGTTGTCTTTTCCTTGCTATACATTCTTAATATTTTAATTCTCCACTTGTTTGTTGTATGTATTATTCTTATTGTTAATATTTAATTATATCAAGAATTTAATGGGTATTCCACAAAACACAATGGTGTATAATTTCAAAAAGGTGGAAATATGGTCAGAGAAATGTAGGAAAAATAAAAAATATCACAAGTCAATCATGGGACTCAGGAAAAGTTAGAAGAGAAGGGTATAGTAATATTGGAGAAGGAAGATAAAAATTACGAGTTTAATTCTTCAGGTGAAAATTAGAAGAATAATGAAGAAGAGGATTTGAATAGTTTGTAAAGCAGGATTTATTTTGTTATATTACTTGTTTCTTGTTCAGACCTAGAACTAAGTAAAAAAACAAAACAAATGGGTTTAAACATCAGCAGACATGAAACAGTTTTACAATATGCTTTGTTTCATTTTGATAGTCCTCTGATCATCATATTCTAAATTATAAAATCTATAATACTGAGGCCAACAGTATATTCTTATATGGAATTTATTAGCCTGCAAAACCCAAGCTATATTGAGATAGAGAATAAATCAGGTATGTAGAATATAAATAGATGGAGGGTATCTCAGTAAAAATGGCATTGACTCTTAGTTTATGGGTACAGATTTGAGCCCAACTTGTGAGAGAAAATTAATTGTTCTATGAACTGATTCTGGGATCAGAAGGGGGTCCACCCAGAGTTGGTGGATAAATGTTGCAATTGAATGACATCATCAGCTCCTTGTATAACACGGGTCATGAAATGGTACATCATCAAAACTTAATCAAAAACTTTATTATTTGGTAGTGTTACAGGTTTTTTAAAAAAAAATTATCTTTAGTACCTTTTATTTTATTAATTTTCTTTAATTATTTTTGTTTAGGTTCTCTTCTCAATACTTATAAAGGAATTTCAAATTATCTCTTTTTATGTTGATGGTAACAACAGTGGACAGAACCATGAGCATGGGAGCTGGTAGGGAGAGAGTTTGTTCATGAATTAGGGACATGCATATATTAAAACATTTTTATTATATTTATTGAACACGTCTATTGTATTTATATATACTAATTTTATTTGTTTTTTTATTATATGAGCTCCTTTCTCCCCTCCCCTCCATTCATTATTGTATATTTTATTATCAGAAAGTATGAATTAGGTTAGGAAGAGAAAGGAAAAACTAAGAGAAATGTATAAGGGGAGAGAATAAAAACAAAGGAAAATAGAATGTTTAAAAAAGAGAGAAAAAAATAATACATAAAAAAATGGAAAAAATGTTTACTATGCTCATATATATTGTTGATACTTGTATGATATTTGTACATTAGTTTTAAGGATTATTCATTGTACTGATTGATACTTCAGCACCCTTTTATGGAAATAAAATGATTCTCTCTCATTGATAAGTAATCCTGTCATTAATATTTTTAACAAAGATTATTAATTTAATATACCTTGATATTACAGACTAAAATAGTTGAATTAAAAAATAACAATTCTGAAGAAATACAAGATTTTGAAGATTATAATGGAAAACATCATCCGACCAAGTCAAAGTTTCATCAGGATATTTATATTCTATCCTGGAACAACACTCCTAAAGTCATTAATGTCATGAAGCACTCATTCAAATATCGTAAGCAGGAGGTATGTATCAGCTAAAATAAGAATAAGTAACCAACAAGATATAATATAATACAAATTTAAGTGAACAAATACAGCAGGAAAACCATGGGAGATGCATTCAGAGTAAAGTATACATAATAAAACAATTTCCATTGTGCCAACGTTTTATGATTTTTTGTGCTCATCTCCTCCCAAGTTCTTTGGCTCATACCTCCATCCAAAGAAAGTTTATTGCTCTCTTCTTCTTGAAAGCTAAAGTTGAATTTTTAAAATTGTTGAAAGATTGTATACAACTACACTGTCTGTTTTATGTTTTCCCCGGTTTCAAAATTGTTCCAAACTAAAACCATCTGTCCCAAACATTTTGTTTTTGTATAATATGTCCACCCCTTCCTCCCCTTTTAAGCTATACATGGATTTCCCAGGGCTAGGAGAGATGCGGGGGAATAAAGCCAGAATTTAAAAGCCACTCCACCCTCCCATTTGTCCTGAACCATGCATCCTAAAATGCATCCTTCTAAAATTATGCACTCTTCAAAAACTTTGATAGTATAACTTGTGTCAACCTCTTTCTGGGCACCTCTAATTAAAAATTCCTATACTTTAAATTGACTTACACAGATACTTTTTCATCTCAAAAACATACTTTTTCGCAGAGATAAGTATATTTTAAAAATCTATATTCAATAACAGGCTATGTCATCCATGAGATTCATTCCTATTTAATCAATCTTTCACAATTACATGCAGTGCCAGCCTTAGACATTCACTGCCTCCTGGCAATGACGTCATTTCCCTCTGCCTTAAAAAAAATGTATTTATTTCTTAAACTGTTTTAAATTATGTAATATTTGAATTTTATTTCATTCGACATTTCTCTAATATAGTTGCTTGATGGACAAGCTAAAATTAATTATTTTAATATGTTTTGTGTTTTTTTTATTTCTAACGGGTGGCAAGCGTCGTTGAAGATCGGCCAGCGCCCCCAACGAGCGCCACAACAGGTTCGGCGCTCCAATTGCCCCTCCTTAAGGCCCGCATTGATTACATGTTGGCCTCACAAATGAATTTTTCTATCCTGGTTACCGTCATTTTAAACTGGCATTAAAGACGAATGTATAAGATTTATCAGATTTTTTAATAATTTTATCCAGTCGAGAGCTATGAATTTTTGAAACTGTAGGACATCAAATGCACACTGCTTTTTGTATGTTTTTTAAATGATCCATATAAGTTTTTTATTTTAAGGAAACATCGGATTATGATATTGGTAATATCCTGTGTGGAAGAAGAAAACTATTCAGATTGAGAGGCCCTAAAGAAACTGCTAGTATAAAAGTTTTGGAAGCAAGCGGCTGTAATGATGCGTTAACAATTTTAAAACTATTAAACCGACACATGCTCAACATAGATCTCATGGACAACAAAGGAAACTCAATGTTTCTGAGAGCAGCTGTAAGCTTTAATTATAGAGTTTATGAAGAGTACTTATTCATACATTAAAGTTAAAGGAAACATTATTATTTTTCATTATGTAATTAGCTTCTAAAACAAAATAGTAACGTTAATGTACAGTAACTTTAATAGGAGTGAAGTTTTTGTGCAAGTTTAAAATAGTATTAAAAACAAATGCTGTTTTTCATGTCCCAATTGGATAAAAACCATTATTATTAGGTGAGAAGACCACCTAATAAAAATAGTTTTAGCTCTCAATGCAGCCTTCTCACTTTTTTTTCTTTCTTCATATCAAACTTGTCATTATTCAGTTCCATTAATATTTCTATACCATTGGATTCTTCCTTCTTATAATATTTATTTTATAATTACTTTGGTAATATTCCATCATTTTCAGTCTTATATCTTACTTAAGTTTGCAGTTACTGAATGTCATCATCTATAATATTTACTTACTGAATACCTCTAAAGTCTGAAGTGAGCCTTTGCTTCTCTCACAATTGTCCTCCATGGTTCCCTGTCTCTGGCTTTCTTTCTCCATCTTGCTACTCCCAGTGATGACAGGTCTTCCTCAATGTCCTGGACGCACCATCAGCGAGGTTATCCATCTCTTTTTTTGCTGATGACCACACCATAGAGCTGACCTGCTTGCCATTCTGTTATCTGACTTCTGTATTACCTGATAAACTACCATTCAATAAACCTTAATAAACTTTTCCATATTTGTGAGTGAGTAGAGCACATTGTTCTTGCAAATTCTCCTTCATCATTAAAGTTGGATTAAAAATGGCATATAAGTTCTTCTAGGAAACTTTCGTTCAAATAAGTTCACCAATCACCTCAACCATTGAGGTTGTCCATAATGATAAGGTTTTCTTAGCTATCATCTAGTTTCTTCTACAGGTCTTTGAAGAAAGTTCCCTTTTCTCAGACATTGTCATTGGGACCACATGTAATAATAATTAGAATATCAAATCACATAATTAGTTTACACTAAAGGTGAAACTCAACTTATTTTTAACAAACTTCAATTTAATAAATATGGATTAAAGCTTATTGACAATAATAAAGTAATACAATATTAAAAAGAAGGAAGTTTGTCTAAAAGTGGAATATCTCTAGTCCTAATGAAAATTGATAAAAGAAAAATCGCAAATATCTGCTTAAAAGTTACCTTTTAGATTATTATATTACCTTTTAACAAAGACAAACTCTATTAGCTTTTGAAATAAATATTGTTTAGATAAATATTGTTTAGTATATATATACTTTTATACTTACTATAAAAAAACACAAAACTTCAATTTCTAATTTTATTTTTCATAATTTTTATCCTTTTTAAATATTTCTCATAGTTAGGGAAGATCTTATATTCACTCAAAATAGACAAATTTAAGTTGAGTTAAACTTTCCTAACTGAACTTCAACTTTTTTTTTAAATTTAGGATACAATATAATATGTGTTTTGAAAATAAAGCAAATATTTTACTGAAAATCATTTAAAGGATTTTAATTTCGGTTCCATGTGAAACAACTTTAAAAGACAGGATTTATTCATAAACATTACAGTTTGAGTTGATTTTAAGCTGATTTGAATTCTTCAAACTGATATTATACATTTTTTTTTAAATTTGGATATAGTGTGTTTTTTTACCAATAAAACACACATGAGAATTTTTTCTCTTTAATTATAATAGTCAAATTTATTTACAAGGTTTATATTACTCACCTCGTCCTCCTCCTCACTCTAACATCACCTATTTTTGTTTGTTATTATTTATATATTTTTATTACTACCGGCATTTTTTTTTTTTTTTTTTCACGAACAGGCCGTAAAGACCACGCGAATACCATGAAGTTAATGCTTCCTCTTTATCAGCCTCCTCTTCTCCCATATGCCTCTCATGAGCTTCGCGTGCTTACGTTTTCTCTCCTCAGACCACAAAACACCCTTTTTGGAGCGCTTCTTTCCCACAAGAACCGTTATTCTCTTGAGCTCCTTCCTGTACTCATCTCTGTCTAAACAATCTTGGTCCCTTAGCCCCACTTGGTTCATATCATCCTTAATCTGTTTAAAATACCCGCTTAAATTCTTATGACTGTGGATGCGCCGAAAGATTTTATGGTTAAGTCTTTCAGGATTCATCCTTATCATATGGTCATAGAACCTCATCCATCTCCTCACTCTAACATCACCTATTTTTGTTTGTTATTATTTATACATTTTTATTACTACCAGCATTTATTACTAATTATATATTTTTATTACTACAGGCATTTATTGTTATTTATATATTTTTATTACGGCAGGCAAATGATGCAAATGAAGTGATGCAGTTGTTGCACCTCCTTGGTGCTGATATAGATGCAGTTAATGATGAAGGCTTTAGCCCATTGACACATACCTTGTCTAGATACATTGCATTAAAATATGATGTGCAAAACTGGAGCCATGGTTTCTTACCGAGGAGGCTAAAGAATGAGGATACTGAAGATTATGAAGGTGTTAATGATAAGTTATTATATCATGTGAAATGCTTAATATTTGTTTTCAAAGTTTTATTTATCATTTTTTCTCCATTTATTGTTAAACTCTGGACCAAACCATTGCCTTTAGTATAGCCATTACGAAAAAAAAAAACTTTTATTTAATAAATTCCAAAAAATCTATTTGAATTAGTTTTAGAATAGAATAGGATAATATAATAAAAGTTTTAACAATGGTTTTGATCAGATGAGGCATTATGGACAATTATTATGTATTATAATGACGATTTAATATCAAATTTCTTTACTTATCTACCCTGGTTTTTTTTTTCAACAGAACATTGGTTAGAGGAATGCATGTTGAGCAATTATTCTGTAAATCAAGGTAGCATACTGTCAGTAATGCAACAAACAACCTCAAAAGGAAAAAAAAATAAAAAAATTGGTAGAGGTATACAGAATCAATTTTATTCTATACATTAATTTCTATTTTAAGTTCCTTTTTATTCATCACAGCATAAGTAGGAGCATCTTGATAATGATTGGCACTTTATATATTGATGATATTATGATATCATCCTGATAACCAAAATGTGGAGTCTGAGTACTTTTTAACTATGAAAATAGGTTTAAAGTTATAGTTGTAAACATAACTAATCAAGTTTTTATTTAAATTGACCCCATCATGTTAAATACAGTTCGCCTCAATCTGGAAATTATTATTCGATGCCATTAAATTCATAGGCCAGAATTAAAGAAAGCCAATTTTGCAGATATGCCACTTGGTCATTGGACAGAGAATATTCTATTGATTATAGAAACTAATACTAATAATACTAGAAGACAAACAAATTTATTTTTATACCAATTGCCTATATTTTAAAAACTAAAAATCTCAAGAGTAATATAAAAATAAATAAGACAAAATTTTATGGTTAGTGACTACCTCTCTTTGATTAAAACTCTCAAAGCAACTCATCTTGCAAATTGATCTAAGGTAAACAATATCTTCACCATTATATAAAAATAAGTTGATCAGGAAAAAATTGCCGCTCTGAGGCTACTTTTTCATAAGAACGAAAACATCATTGGTTAAAAAACAATGAAAAACAACAATTTTGCAAAAAATATAATTAATGTAATGATATTTGTCTTTGTTTATTTAAGCTTACTTCTCTATTTGGATCAGACTCTCAGGTGTTTTGTGTTCAGAAAATAAGTAATTTGTTGACTAGATCTTTTCGACAATCAAGTGACAGCATGCTAATACCCTAATTAAGTACACATCAAATCCTAAAATGTTTTTAATTGGTAGAAAATCAACAGAAAGAACTGAACTATGTATTTTAAGTATTATGTATTTAAGAACAATATTTTGTGCTGGGATTTGCCAAAATCTGATCATTCATATACTATGTTCGATTTCCCATTAGGAAACGATGTTTAACATATAATCTAAATTTAAAAATGCCCTTCCCCCCCCCCCCCACACTCTTCCACAGCATGGTCAAGCTATAAGTATACTAAATCCCAAAAATGTCACTGTTCAGGTACTTTCAGGGTATCAAGAGCTTCACGACGCTACACATCTGTATATTCACTGCCAACTTCAGAATATATTTTTGAGCTTTCCCCAGAACCACGGATTCCACAAATGAAGAGAGAAAGCATGGTACAAGAAGACCAAAGCGAGAAAAAGAAAAAGTTAGTAGCACGCTTATAATTATTTAACATCCATGGTATATGTATATATTATTAGTATATTAGCATATTTTATATATACACGTATTATTGAATGGGAGCGGGGTTGTGCAGTAAGATCAGGCCGTGGCAGTGTTCTATCATATATCAGCCGAGGATCGATCCTGGGGTCGGAAGATGGGTGTTGATCTTTATGGGATGGTGGAGACCTTTTCCCTACATAATATCTGATGATTTTTGGTTTAATCCTCGAACATATGACATATAAATACATCAATTAAAATATCATCTTACTTTGAATAAAAAAAACATATGTATTTATTTATTTATATGAAGTAAAGGGCTCCTTACATGGTCAATATTATTAAAGCAATATAATTAAAGGTCCCCCCTCGTACCTGTCCATAATATTCATCAATTGTTGATATCTAATTACATTTCTATGAGTATGTATATAAATAGAATATTTCTATAATGTATTTTATATTATATTCACTCTATGATGTAATCTTAATATTTTTGTGATTTGTAAACTTTATTACTTGAAATTAAAACGTTTTTTTGTTAATACTCAATATTATTAAATATTGTGTGAAAATTAACTTCTGAAAAAAAAGTAATATTAAAACAGTTAAATGGTGTAAAATATTGTCATTTTGCCTAAAAAATGGGGAGGGAGGTGGGAACAGGCTCCACCTCCTTCACACACTCACATACAGTCTGCCGCTCCAAAACAAGATGAACCCTGAGACATCGCTTCGCACAGTGCATACCTCTCAAGATTCAAGATTCTTATATATGATTTAATATTGCTTGATATAGCCTCTACAAATGCAATTATATTGACACTCTTTTAATAATATTAAAGGAACTTCAATAAAAAAAAATATATCAACCAGTTTGATTGTAATCATTATAATTTATAATCAATGTAGTCCTTACACGGTCAATATATTGCTGAAAGTTGATATTGACTCAATAATTTTGCCAATATAAGTAATATATTGAACAATATTGAGCGTGTATGGAGCTCTTAAAAAGCCCTTAAGACTACATCTACATCTGTGTTAATTTAATAAAAATTGCAGGCCAAATGATATAGTTATAAATTTCTTTTTAGTGTCTTTTAAAATAAATTAGAAAAAGCTAATTGTCTGTTTTAATAATAAGTATTTCATTATTTTTAGGTTGGAAATTATTAAAAATACTGCATTTTATCTTCTTGACATTGGATCAGACATACATGTTTCTGTAACCCCCATGCCTCTTATGATTCTTGCTATATTTAGCGGAAACTTGGAAATAGTTGAAAAACTTCTCAAATGCGGAGCAGATGCTAATGAAGTTCATAATATGAATGTTGGTGCAATATAATCTTCTTTTAAAATATATTTATTAATTTTTCATATAAATATTTAGACTTCCAGATGGATTGCCCCGAGCTATATGCCCTGTCCATGTTAACCTCCTTGCCTTCATGTCATGAGATATTGATTCAGCAGTTTCCTTAAGCAGCTTTTTATTGGTCTTTCCTCTTCATGTGCTAGTACTCTGATCCACTGACGGATCCAGGATTTAATTTTTCCGGGATTTCAGCCCAAAAGTTTTTTAAATATATATCAATAATTATTTTAAAACAAAAAGAAATAAACTAACTACCTATACTAAATGGTGTTTAAGTGATTCTTAAAGTCCTTTTAAATGTAATTACATAAACTATAATACCTTTAGAGATAATTTTTTAATATTTTTTTCATAAGACATGGTTATATTTTGGGGGCTTCAGTCCAAAAGCCTCCCTTCCTCCCCCCGTAGATCCGCCCATGCTCTAATCCCAGATTGCTTCGCTTATTGTGCGAAGGATTTTTCTCAAATCTCTCCATACTTTTTCTAGGTCGCAGGTTTTCTTGAAATTTTTCGGGATTTCAATACTTTATTTAAAATTTTTTTTTTATAAATTATTTTTAAATTGATCTTATTTAAAATATTAAATTTAACTGATTTGATGAAATTTTGCTGGACATTTAATGAGTGATATTCTACGATAAGTTAATTCTAATTTTAAATTAATAAATTTTTTGAATGGCATTTAATCTACCACTTATTATTTAATCTAACAGCATACATATTCAGCAGCAACTTCAGCCAGAATGTTGCAAATGAAAGTAAAATTATAAAAATTGTACAGTTTTTTTTTTTTTTACTCTTTTTTGTTTTTTACTCCTGGTTTGAAATTAATCTTCAATTGAAATCTCATTAAAATATGGTTCCCTAAAAAAATAAATAATCTTGTAAATATGTGCCCATCTTCAAAACTCCATAACCATGTAAAAATATTCCCCTTTAAAAATTTTGAAGGCACTACTTGCATCATGCAACCCCTTCTGGCACTCCTGGTTCCTGTTGCCCATTGGATACCGTTGTTGAAATGAAACATTGGATCTTTAGAATTACTGTCATTCTAATTTTATTAAAAAGAATGAGGTATATCGAATAACAACCACAGAAAGGATACGTTTTCAGTACGTACAGTGAATATTTGAAATAAGGAAATTAAAGGTAGGTGGGCATCTTTAGAAATTTGTTCCTGAACGAAACTTTCACTTCACACATCATTGATTTATTTTCTTTGCAAATTCGAATTTTAGGAGTGTTTGGATTACTGAGATTGAACTGTATTAAAATTTGGATTTTTATGGGTTTCAATGGAATGTTGTAAGCAGCCAGCGATTGCTTGTTATATTGGCATTGGACTCGCTAAGACTATTTTGTATTATTATCTGACAGACTCTCAATACTGCCTTTCATTTGAGCAAATTTTTGTGTTTACAAATTTAATGATGTTGCTTAATGTTGATTTTTAGAATGGACAAATGACAGCCCTCCACATCATAGCACAAGCCAGACCTCTGCCTATGTACCCTGCAATGGTAAATCTGTTCCTTCGCTATGGAGCAGATTCCAATGTTCGAACTTCAGTAAGTTAAAACCAGAGCTTAATTTTTTTTTTATTATTGAAATTTACAACTGTATTAAATGAAAAATACAACAAGTAAATATGAAATAAGTAACATGACATGTACAACACGAAAAAAATCTACCCATTGCTAGTACTCCAAGTATATTTCTATATTAGAAGGTTCCGAGTTATCAGGAATAGAAGAGGAAGCAAAGTTAGAAACAAGAGGGTTTGGATGGTTCAGAAGTTTATTATGGAAGGATAGGTATTTGAATTGGGCTAAATCGGAAACATGTGGTACATTAACGTCGTTATGGATGATTTTATTTGTGACAAAGTAGAGAGCATTGAGGATTTTATGAAGGATTTTGGATTGTATGGATTGGATATGAGGGGAATTTGATGGTTTAGTATAGTGCCTAAGCTCAATTCCATAAGTCCAAATATGTTTTATTATAGTAATATATATATATGAGTCTTTTGTAAATAGTTGGAAGTTTAGAGCGTTTGTCTAGTAAGTGCTGCAGTACGAAAACGTTAAGCGGTTTCTAGTCGTTTCAGTCTGGTATGAGGTTTCCAAGTGAGTCATTTGTCCAGGTTGAGTCTTAGATATCGGATTTGTTCAACAGGGATAAGTGGGGTATTGTTAATGGATACTGTAGGACAATAAATCATAGGTTTATGATGAAGAGTCAAGGTAATTTGATGGGATTTATTGGAATTTTAAATCTCTTAAATAAAGTATTTCTCTCTTTTAAACTATTTCAATCCAACCGTTCATGAAATAATGTAACTGAAAATATACTTAGATAATATTATAAATAACTCAAAAAACACAAAATAATTTGAACAAAAGTATATATATATATATATATTTGGGTGACTGTCCATCAGGGAAAGCCACACTGCCTGAGACCTCCCTCCTGGGTTTGTGAGGCCCGTCAGCCTACTGGAGGCAACTCACACAGACAGCACGTAGGACTGATGACTCTACTCCCGTATTCTTAAATCAGGAATTGTGATGTGGTCTAGAAGACCACATCACATCAACAGATAATAAATTATCTTAAATATAATGAGTGCATTTTACTTCTATAGCATCCATTTTTTTAACTTCAAACCTGATATAGAGAGAATGTTTTTGATAGAGATGTTCTATCTCAAAAACAATTTATTATAACAATAAAATACCAAATTGAAAAATGGCATTTCCTAAATTAAATTTAGGATATCTAAATCTTGAGATTTGGTGCATTAAAAATAATTTAATAGCAGCTTACCTCTTGACAACATCTCATTGGTAGGCATTGACTATTTTATATAATTTGTTCTTATTCTTTATAATTATTAATATACCACTTATTAATTGGTTGAGGATTGGAGAAGGTAGTCAAAGAACAAAAAACACAGATTATTATAAATTTTAATTAATAAGATAAGAATAAATTGACACCTACCTGTATGTTTTCTCTTTTATCGCAATCTTCATAACAACTATATCCTCAAAATTTCCTTTTATTTATCTACATAAATCTAATTTTTTAGGTAAACTACAACATGCCGGAATGGGAATATCTTCTAGAATTTGTGAAGTTATCACATTCAGTAGTGCCAGGATTAACTCCTCTTCAAATCCTTGCCATTCGTTCTGACGCTACATATGTAACCAATAAAGAGGTCAAACATAATTTAATATTTTTATATCACTTATTTGTTGCAATAATGTCATATCTCAAAAATCAATTCTTCCATCTATTAGAAGAAAAAGATTCTCTTGTTATAGCTGTATTTGCTGCCATTAATTTTACAAAGCATTATTTCTTTTTAGGATAAACAAAGAGGGCTTTATTTTATTTGTATTGAATATATATAATATTGTAGAACTCTAAAGATAAACTGTCCCGATGTGTAATAATATCAATGACAACAAACATGGAAGAAATTTCAATTCTTTTCGGGTAAAGTCTGGTGTATTTGTTCTTACTGGAATGATAAATTTATTTATTTGGTTATTGTCTCTACCCCTTGCAGTCATCGGATAATAATGATCATGACATATTATTGTATATGGTTGAAAAACGCACTTTTTTTAATATATTTTTTTTCTTTGTTTCAAATTAAGAACAGTATTTAGAACAAATTTGCTGCTTATTGTCATGGTTCAGTAATCACAACGAACTTTTCTTGGGTTTGAGCCCCCTTGGTCTGGCTATCTCAAAAGGGAACAACAATATTGTTTCAACGATGCTTAACTGCTCTAAAATAGATGTGAATGCTACATTTGACACTTTTTGGGGGAATCCCCTCTTCACATACTTAAGGTGCCATGCACTCAAAGATGATCCTATAATATTAGATATTGTAAGTACTTTTTGGTTCATGTTATTCATACAAATCATTTATATTTATTTAAAAACTAGGGCTATCTTTGTGAATAAGTAAAATAGACAATATTTTATTTCTCATTGGTGTCCAATACTTATCATATGATTATGTAAAGGAAAATGGACCTGGACTACTGTCCATCCTTGATAAAAAAAAATCATAATAATGGATATATTTTCCTTCACCGATATTTTTACTATTTAATATTTTCACCATTTCCTCCCGGTGAAAGATATGATATTGTCAGATCCATTTTGTAGACACCGATTTTGAGAATCTACTGTCATATAATATGACCACACTTCTTGTGAAGCTAGTAAAATAAAAGTATTTTTTTATTATTAAATTTGTTTTTGTTTACAATTGCAATCATATGAATATAATACAATAAATATGAATAAGAGAAGATATAATAATATGAATACGAAGATAGGAATTATGAGTGCCTTATTAGAATTATCAGTGTTAAGGCTCTAAACATTGGCAGATTGCAGTCTGACCAGAAGAAAGGAATTATGAGTGCCTTATCAGAATTAACAGTGTTAAGGTTATAAATATTGACAGATAGCTGTCATACCAGACTGGCTATTTAAGAAGTACTGAATTTTGAACAAAATGCAGTTTAATCATGCTTGCATATTTTCATATAAAATTCACAACAAAAATGATAACTGTTAGGTTATAATTTGGAAAAATTTCAAACCATAAATGATGGTTCAATTATTGGATTTGATGAAGAATTAAGGAAGATGAGAAAAAAAAACCTTTCTTAGCTAATCCTTTTCTAATTTTAGACTTAATTCAAAAATTTATCATTTTTCTGTGATTTGTATTTTTGTTTTTTTAGATCAGTGTATTTATACTCCATTTCAACTACTTTAAACCCAAGAAAAGTATTAGTATTATTTTGTATTATTGTGAATAAAGGCTTTATTTATTCCTTTATGTGTGGTGTTCTCCCACCCACCCTCTTCTCCTCCTATGCATTGAACATTGTTCAATCATGTTATATTAACTGTTGTCCTACCTCTTCCCTATACATCTTAATGCTAGCGCTAATGGTTATCACTGTTAATATAAATTACTAACAATCTAATCAAGGGACAGAACTTAAATGTTAGATTATAATTTGGAAAACTTCCAAACAACAGAGCTTTATGTCTCCAAAATGCAAAGAAAGTTAAACTTGTCAATGTTTCGCCAATTCAGGTATAAAAAAATGTCCCCAATACTGGTAGAAAAAAATACAACTTATATAATATAGAGTATGCGTTTGGATTGAGTGATGTTCGATTAGCTGTATTTGTTTTCTGTCCATTTGATGCCTGAATTGATGAAACGTTGACAGCTTTGTTTTTCTTTCACTGCATTTTGGAGACATAAGGCTGTGTTGTTTGGAATTTTTCCAAATTATAACCTAACATTTATGTTCTGTATCTTGATTACTTTGTTACTAATGTATATTAACAGTGACAACCATAGGCACCAGCACTTAAGATGTATTGGGGAGAGAAAGGACAACAGTTGATATAACATGATTAAACAATGTTCAATGCTTAGGAGGAGAAGGGGGTGGGTGGGCGAACACCACACATAAAGGAATAAATAAAGCCTTTATTCACAATAATACAAAATAATACTTTTCTTGGTTTTAAAGTAGTTCAAACGGAGTATAAATACAGTGATTAAAAAAAACTTCAAAAATACAAATCACAGAAAAAGGATAATTTTTTGAATTTCTGAATTAAGTCTTAAATTTAGAAAAGAATTAGTTCAGAAATCAGTTCATTACTTATATTATAATATATTATATCATTTCACAAATGATTTTTTTTTTTTTGTCTCATCTTCGTTAATTCTTCATCAAATCCAATAATTGAACCATCATTTTGAAGGATATTTTCTCCTTCTGAAAAATTGAGCACATTTTTTGTGTTCACACGTTTTTTGAAAAACCGTCTCCTAGAAACCACACATCTCCCAAATTTTCTGTCATACTATCTTTACCCTGAAACAGTTCAATCATCTATGCCATCTCCTTCCAAACAAGTCCCATCAACTCGTTTATGGTGGTCTCTTGGAAGAATTTGAAACCTAACTCAAATACCTAATGATTTATTCAATACATTTTGCTTTTGGGATATCAAGAGATACGAATATTACCCAGTATTATACCAAGTTGAAGTGGCTCTATCCATCCCTCTGCCGTCAGTACTTCCAAGCTACCTTTCTATATCAGGCCTTTAGAACTCAGCGACCTCCTATATTTATAACAGCTTACAATTTAAATACTTCATTAAATCCCGTCCCACTAGATCTCGTACTTCCGACCTCTATCCTACTCTCCATTAAACTGCTGCGTTTGACAAACCCTTTTCATTTCTGTTTACTTAAGTTTTTTTAGTTTTTTATGTTTGTTATACATATATATATATATATATATATATATATATATATATATATATATATATATATATATATATATATATATATATGCTCTTTTTTTCTCTCTCACTTCCTCTCTTTCTTTCTGTATTTTTGTTTTCAATTAGCTATTATTGTAAATATTTAATTTATATAAGGCCACACTGGCATTCATTCTGTATTTATAATTTACTCTAAAGGGACAACAGTCCCTGAATAATAAAAAACATTTCATTTCACATTCCTCAGAAAAAAATCAAGAAAAAAAGTAAAAAAGCAAAGGAAATTTAGTTTGCATTTAACTCAAAATGTATACAATGGCACTATATAGAGTTTCAAAGGTTTCTAAAGTTCCTACAAAGAGAACAAAAAATCATCCAAATTGGACCAATTTTAGCAAAGATAGAACCAATTGTATTTTTTAAAAACATTTTTGTTTATTATTTGGAACGAACTATTGTAATTGATCAAGGATAAAAAAAATATTCCTCCTTCTTATATTGCATTGAATAAACTTGTTTCCATATTGTGTTCACTGATCAATATACTTACTATGTGATTTATTTGCATGAGCCAAGGTGTAATATAATTATTATCTTTGAGGTTTTTGTGAGTTATTTCAAGATAATGACTGCGAAATTTTGGAAGGACTGGCTTCCTTCCATAAAATATTGAGGAGAGAGGGGAAGAAAGAGCCTTGCCCCCCTCTCTTCCAGTGCTCACCCTTATGGTGATAACTGAGATCAAAAGTAACTTCATCCACTTTTAATCACAGAAACTGTTTTCAGTTACGAACTCTGATTTTAAAGGGAGTGAATCCATTGGAAATAAGTTATACCAATCGAGGCAGGGGCAATGCACTCAACTTTTTACTCCAGTTAAGAGACAGGAAAATGTAAGCATTACTTATCAGTTTTGAATTATATTTGAACTAACAAATAAGGTTTTGTCATGCCCAACAAGAGGGAGGGGTAGCCAGGGTTGCAGTCCTGGGGCCCGGCCACAGATGTGAGCCATGGCTTTAAAATAAGGTTTTATTTTGTGACTTCTAAATTAAAATTAAAATATAGTATTGATAATATCACTACTATTAGTGCAAAAGGTCGTATGTGAAAATTGATTTTTTAATAGAAAAGCATAAAAATTGATTATTTCTTTATCGTTTATTAGGATAATTTCATATTTTTTTCCCTCTGCTGTTTTCCATAGTAGTAGACTACTTATATCAGTTGAAGAGTACAAAATGCAACCTTTGGCACAAGTAGAATAAACATGTAAAATTGTTACATATGATCTTTTGCACTAACAGTAGCGATATATTATAAATACTTAGGTAATATCTTTACATACTATTATTTTTGCGTACTTTATAAAAAGTTTCTATTATGGTTTAGTGATTAATTTAATATTTGATAGGGATCCAAGAAAATTATCTGCAGGGCCTTAGGTTTCTCTCCACAGGCCAGCGTATTGTACATTATTTAACTGTTATAAGCAATAAGTAAACGTTCCTGGCCATTTCAAATGAGGGCAATATCAACTTGAATATAAACACAATCATAATTTATTTATTTTATATTACAAAAAGTAGAAGTGAATGTTTTTACAAAATTATCTTATTTATTAATTGTGATTTTTAGTAGATAAATATTGACTAAGGTAAAGTTATCTGATACTAACACATTATTATTATAGAAATCTACTTTAGAAAATATCTTGTAAAGCTAGATAATGTCACAACTTACGACTTCCTGATCAATAGTATGGTTAAGACCTTTTCTTGTATTTTTAAATACTGTATTTAAGAATAACTTTTAGCAAATCACTTGTTCAGCTATTATGTATAACTTCCTAAAATACGGGAATGAAAATACTTCTTGTTAAATATGATTTTATCTATCATACTTTATGGATTTAATTTTGATCATTTGGTAGAGGAATAATGATGGGATTGTATTTTAGTGCAAATAAAAGATCATATTATGATTTAGTAAGCTTTAACTTACTTTTTTAATGATTAATTAAATAACATCATTTGAGATTTTTGAACATTTAAATTTTAAAAATGTGTTTTTAATTCTAAAGGCAAACAATCATTGTTATTTTGTTCTAGAATTGCTAAATTAAATTTATTATTATTAAAGAGCTATCAAGTTTTGGGCATATCACTCTTTGTAGCTATCCAGTTTCTTATTATTTTGTAAAATATTCATTATTTATAACATATTTGATAGTAAAAAATTTAATCCTTGATACTGATCAGGACTAAGTGGACAAAGTGGACAATTTACGGCTTGCCTCAAACTTCTAGTAATGATTACAACTTGAAAAACCATGAGCAGATACTGATGGAACTGGCAAAATTATACCTGCGGAAGTATATCAGAGGTCTTCTTATCAGATTGCATTTGAAGTTTCTTAATAGGTATTAAACCTTTTTTCCTTAAAATTGTATTATTTATTATTACTATAACCAATCATGACTAAATAAATACTCACTAATATATTACCATTATTGTGTTATGGGAGTTAAACTATAAATGCTTAAGTTTTCAGAACAACCTCATTTTCTAGTTCTAATGAAAGTTTTATCTGGTTAAATAATTGTAGGTGGGCTAGAGGTAGCCGAATTGTATTAATTCTGCGGGGAGTTAGCAGTGTTTTTTTTTTCTCAATTACTCCCTATTTCACCATTTATGTCATAAGGAAGGGTTGTTCAAGAAATACAACTAAATCTATTCTAACCAGAGTCAGAAGATTGAGATTCATTTCACTGATTCGAACCAGCAATGCTCTTGAGACTGTTGAAGACTTGAGAATGTTAAAGAATGCAACATTCTAACACACTCGGCCGTCACAACCTCAAAGAGTTTGCTGTTACAAATATGGTATTAATGCAATGTTAATCAACTTGGTCAGGGATCAGCGGCTCTTCATTCAGTGAATAACACACTGCTCCCATTCTCCTGAATTTGGATTTGATTTTGGTTTTCAGAAATATTCTAATAGTAAAAAGAATTATATATTATTTATTCTGTCAATAATGATATAACATATATTAATGCTTATTTATATAGTCATTTGTCTTATACCTCTCGAATATTTAAAAAAAAAATAAATAAATAAAAAAAAAATGTTTTACTAATTGTTATGTATATATATATATATATATATATATATTGTTTATTAATCTGTTATTATATTAGTCATACTTAATGCTGTGGACATTGTTAATATTTTGTTTGAATACAGTACTAGACTCAAGATCTAACATTGTTAATTATACCATTATATTATATTACAGGAATTTATAAATTTATTAGTACAGGAATTTCCTTAGACAAATAAAATAAACTATCTATCTATCTATTCTGTCAATAAGCCATGGATCAATACTGGGGTCAGAGGACCCACTTGGAGCATACTCAGCCTCCGTAAAGTGAGTACCCTTGATTGAGATAAAAACCAGGTGGATGAGGGTAATCATAGCCAAATCATTTCCTATTACTACTGTCAGCCTTGAAACATAACTTCCTTATAAAGTACTGAATCCAAGACTGTCTACAGGTTGGAGTGATATATGTTAAACATGGTCATTGTTTCAGACAGAGCAAATTGGTTTGGACATCGCTTCTAGCGTTTGGGGAGAAAAAGTACATTAAATTTTTGTTATTGATTATATCTTTGTTAAAAATTATCGTATGGCTGAAAGCATAATATAGTTTGGAATCTTCAATTTAATTTGGAAAAAGTAGAGAAAAACTAACTTCCTTATGAGTTTTCTACAATGTACTGATTTTTACTGAACTTTTTAATTTATATATCCTAATCCAATCATTTATATTAAGAAGCACCATATTCATTGTTTGTTACTGTTACTCCTTTAGATAACTCAAATATAAAGGGAAAAAATACTTTCTGGATATTTATATCAAATTCAACAGTATTTTCTTTTCTACTTTTGCCAGCATACAAATTTAAAATGTTCGTTACAATTTAAAAATGACATGGACTTAAAAAATAGTTTTTTTTTTCAATACCTTCTCTTCTCTTCCTTTCTATCTAAATTCCTCCTCTGCTCACTTCGTGTTTTTTAAAAAATTGGTTACTCTTCTGCATTCATCTTTAAATCATTTATTTGACTTCAAATAACTGTGTGTGGAAGCAAGGTTTTTTATTCATAATTTCAATGAAGAAATATTTGAAAAAATATATATTCATATGGAACATCTCTTCCAATATCAAAGAAAATAAAAATATGCTTTCAGCCACGTTACTAAAGAAAATCAAAATGAAATCTAAAAACATAATATATATATATATATATATATATATATATATATATATATATATAGAAACCTTTTGGTTTAAAAAGTGTAAGAAACTTGTCACCAAATGAAAATTATAAGAAAATGGATTCTCAACATTATATCTTTTATGTGAGGAGGAGACCCAACCCGGCAACAGATTGTTGTGTCAAGATAATAGTAATGGTATCTCTTGAAATGAAATGAAAAAATAATTTTATTCTGGGACTAAAATCTCCTAAGAATAATAATAACATGGTACCAAACATAGGCCCATTAGTCTGGTTTGACAAAATACAAAGAGGTCTCTTATGTCCTTTTACACCAATTTATTTTTTGTACCTGTTTAAATTTATTGTGAAACAGTTAAAAGGTACACTGTCCAACTAGAAACTTTATTGGAGAGTTGAAAATTTTGGGTTTCCTTTAAGTTATTTGGTATGGACCAAATGCTCATAGATATCTTTACTGAAATTACATACATTAAAAATATATTATTTATTATTACTATTATATTTGTTGTATTAGTTTTTGAATATTTTAAATATAAATTTTTAATTTATTTTTCAGCATGGATGCAGAAAGAGACAACTACCTCCGACAGATGCATTATCTCAATAGACGGCGACAATCTTCTGTGACAGTAGAAAGGTAAAGTTAATTGTAATTTAGCAAAATGTGAATAATTAAAAATAAATAAAAATGTTTTCTGCTAAATTCATTAATTTTTAATTTATAATTTGGGTGGAAAAAAGTTTTCAATAAATATAATGCATTAATGAAATTGTGTTTTAAAATAATAATTTGGGCACTAAATAAGATTAGAATAAAAAACATACTATATAATTTAAATGAACAAATATTTTACTAGTAACTTTTTCGTAAACAAAACTTTAACTTTAAATATAATAAAAGCAAAAAGAGAGCAGATTAATTTAATTTTGGTAGATTATACCATAAAAATATTTTTTTTCATGCATAAGTTATTATTATTGAATACTTAAACCTAACATAAATAAAAAATTAATGTTTTAAATAATAATCATTATTTTACTTCTTCACTTTCTTTATAATTTTTTTCTGCAGGATCTCCGAAATATAAAAATGTTAAAGTCCAGAACATTGCGGTGTATTCATTTTATCATTTAATTCTAATGACTTTGATGAACATTGTATTTAATTTTTACTTAAAATCTCCAGATCTGCACCGAATAAAAATACCAAATAAGCCTACCCAGGCTCACGCCTTTTACATCTCCAAGTTAAAAATTTTTTGTTACTTTCCTGCACATCATGTTTCTAATAAAACATTTTAATGCTAAATTAAATTCAACTGTTGGAAGACAATCGACCAGTTTGAAGCCTGAAGGGAATTAAAACTTCTGGGAATAATAACTACCAAGTCAATCATTATTGATTTAATATGTTTGTTATAATATATTTATAAGTTATAATTATAAATATTCAATTTATAAATAATTATTATATTTAGGGTAAGCGCACCAGTGACCGACACAGCTCAGGAAATTATTGTCTGTTTTGGCTTATACCGCTATAATTATTACAGTTATAAACTTCTGCGTTGGACATTTAGAATCTCTAGGGTCTTCTTTTTCTATTTATAATTTTAAAATTGAAAAAATATTCAGTTATGCAAGTATAATCTCCATTTAAAAAAAACACCTTTTTGCACTGGTGGTGGACATCCCGAACTTCAAATGTTCTAGTAATGGACAGGAAGTCAGTACCAGTAATGGACATACCTCAGAAAAATTCTAAATTTTTATTTAACTATAAAGATAAGGTAACATAAATGTTCAATTTACTCTTGTTAGTAGGAAGGCACTAAACAGTTTTCTTTTGGTAACTTTGTTCATACAGTTATCAACAGAGGGCATTGTTCTTCAATCTAGAAGAAACTGAAACCTTTAAATCAATAAGGAAGCTTATTATTTACATTTAAAATCCAACCTGTCCACCACTCCCTGTCCATAACTGGTGCGTTCACCCTTAACTAACTCCCCGGCGCTACAGGCCAGCAAGACCCTTGGCCTCCTCAGTTATTTTTCTACAATTCTCTCTGTCCTGTACTACTCTCTTCCAATTGCAAACTCCTAGCTTCTTCGCATCTCTCTCCACTTCATCCTTCCATCTGCTTCTCAGTCTTCCTATTTTCCTCTTCTCACTGAAGTTTGCTTCCAATATTTTTCTCGGCACCCGTTCATTCTCCATTCTGATTACATGTCCTGCCCATCTAAGCCTACTTGCCTTGATATAGTTAATAATGTTTTGATTCTCTAGTATAGCCTCGATTTCATTCTTTTGATTTTCCACTCACCATTAACACTTGTAGCACCATAAATCCTTCTTATTATTTTCCTTTTTTTTTTTTTAATACTTTTAGTTTACGGCAATCCTCTTGCGATAAACACCAGATTTCCGCTCCATAGATGACTACTGGTCTAATAAGCGTTTTATACAGCTTTATTTTTTTGGCTTTTGACAACAATGGAGACTTGAGACGTTTTAGGTTTGCATAGTAAGCTCTATTACCAGCCATTATTCTGTTGTCTATTTCTCTGCTGATTACGTTTTCGTTATTTAGAGCAGAACAAAGATACACGAATGTGGGTACATTTTCGAACTTAAAATTTTTTATTGTGATTACATTGCAGGATCTTCTACTTGCTGCCGAGGACAGTTTCAGGTATTTAGTTTTGCTTTCATTGACCACAAGTCCTACTTTTTTGCCAATTTCGTACACAATCTCAAATGCCTTTTTAAGCGCTTTTTCACTTTGTGCAGCTATTACCAGGTCATCAGCGTAAGCACACATTTGCCAGGTCTTCTCATCAATGGTGCCTTTTTTAGCTGCATCTTTCACAGCAGCATGCAGAGCTATGTTGAATAGTGTTGCCGATAAGGCATCTCCTTGACACACTCCAGACTGAACCTCGAACAATCGGCAACTTTATTTCCAATAATAACTTTGGATGATGCATTTTCCATGGTCATGCGTATTAAATTAATTAGTTTATGTGGCACTCCACTTTTCATTAGCATTCTTAACAGAGCTGATCTCTTGATGCTATCAAATGCCTGCTTGTAGTCAATGAATAACAAGTGCAGATCAATGTCATACTCGTAGCGTTTTTCCATCATTTGTCTTATAAAAAAAATTTGATCCGTAGTACCGTGGCCAGCTCTAAAACCACACTGGTAATCATCTAAAATTTCCTCAGCACATTTTCGCAGTCTTTTCAATATTAAACTAGACAGGAGTTTATACAGGACTCCCAATAGGGTTATTCTTCTATAATTTGTGCGCTGATCCTTTCTGCCTTTTTTAAGAATAGGACATATAAATCTAATCCTCCAGTCATTCTGCATCTTTTTCTCTCTCCATACGTCACATAGCAACTCATATATTAAGGCCTTCATTTTACCACTGCAGCATTTAATCAATTCCACAACTATCCTGTCCTCACTGGGAGCTTTACAGTTCTTCAAGTCCATGATGGCAAACTCAATATCCTCTCTGTCAGGCTCATCAACTAGGCATTTTGGTTGCCACACCTGACATTCTTCTCCACTCTCAACATCCTCCACCTCCAGACCAATGTTCAGCAATTCTGAGAAGTGTTCGGTGTTCGGTCCACCTGTTCATCACCTCTCCTTCTCCATCCAAAGCCTCTTCTGTTTTACTTTTGAAATTATTCAGCTTCGGCTGATACTCTTTTCTGAACCAATTAATTTCCTTATAAAATTTCCTACTTTCATACACATTGTTCAACATTTCTATATTTTCAAGCCTTTTACAGATCATTTTCTTTTTTCCTCTCTAAACACTTTCTTAGTTGTTCTTCTTTTCATACTGTAGGTCTCCTGGTTTTGCCTTGTGAACCTCTGTAAGATCTTCTGTCTGGCTTGATTTTTCTCTTCAATGGCTTTCGCACATTCTTCATTGAATCATTCTTCATTTCTTCCATTTGTAATTTCTCCCAATGTCTCTTCTGCTGCCTTGCTTATTGTGTTCACCCTTATGTATTTATATTTTAATAAAAATCATTATCAAAATTACGTTTATACAAAAATATAATTTGTTTTTATTAGTGGTCTGAGTGCTGGTGTAGAAAAATCTGATTATGGTTATGCTGAAATATGTGAAAGAACAAAAGAATGGATGAATTCTGTTGAGGAGTGCAAGGATATAATGGAAAAAGCAATAGACAATATGGGTGATAGCTGTAGCCCAGTGCAAGCTATACGGCTTCTATCATTGCTTCCCAACTTGATCATAACACCAAAAAAGTCTGAAATGAAAAACCTTAAGATAACTAAGTTTCTTGAGGGAAAACTTCTTCCAGATTTTAGGGTAAGTAGATATTATTAAGACTGGAAACCTTTTACTATCCAAGTTTTTATTTTGTTTTTCACCTATGTTTCACCAGTTTGGGGAATTCATTGCTTCGGCGAACTTGATATAAGTAATATCATGTATCTGTCTGTAGGTTGTCAGTTACAGATTAAATCAACATTCATTTCTTTTAAATTTGCTTATTAATCTAAATGTTGCCTCTGTGTTCCATCTAGCCACTTTTTACTTTGATTTGATGAATTGATTGATGAAATCAAATCAAAGAGTGAGACAGAGATGCAAATAACATCACAATCACTTAGTTTACTTTACTTAACTGATCACACTGACGAAGGCGAGTGTGCAGATGGTGGGATTATTAATGGACCGAGCTGTTAATGCATGCTTCTATCCATTACTTTATATGAACCACTCACCATTGCATTTTTCTGCATTTTTTCTACTACGCTAAGTTCCGTCTGTAATAATTTTAGCAAACACTAGGTCGAAAGGATTGTCTTTGTCCATGGGTAACAATGTGACATACATAAGATTTTTATGGTAAGTTTAAGGCATATAATGTGAGAAACTTTCACACTTAATGTATGCTAACTTAATAGCTTGTTAATAATTTTTCGTATCTGTGCATTTTATTTCATTACATATGACATATCAAACATATTATAGAGTGTTTGTAGATATTTGTAATACAATTATTTTATTTTTTTATTTTAGTTTATCCTCGCGCGGGTTCATTACCGCGAATGGAGAGCGTCCCACGGGTGGCGGATGTGGGGATGGTCGGTGGAAATTCCTTGGAAGTTCCTCCCGGCTAAGTCCGATGGACTCGCTGACCAACAATGAGAGGGGCCCTCCAGACGTGCTGGAGAGAGGGGACCTCCAGACTTGCTGGAGGGAGGGGACCTCCAGAGTTGCTGGAGGTAGGGGCCCACCAGACTTGCTGGAGGGTGTGACGTAGGATTGAACGCCCTACTCACATATCTTTAGTTCACCAAACACCACAAATAGTCATGGATCTCCCTAAGGTAAAACGCTCATTATCCGGAAGTAAACTAGTCCCCCGTTCGGGTCTCCGGGTGGGGACTGCTTTAGGGGATTAATGGCGCAAGTTGAAATATAGGGATTTAAATATTGGTACGTGGAACGTAAGGAGTTTAAACACAGCAGGGGGGCTAAAATCGGCCGCGAATGAGGTGAATAGGTACAATTTGGATGTCGTGGCTCTGCAAGAGGTTCGCTGGCCAGGGGAGGGCTCGATGAGGGAAGGGAAGTACACTATTTGGTACGGAGGAAGCGGGAATCACTGTTTGGGTACCGGGTTTCTAATTAGGAGTAGATTACTGTCCGCTTTGAGGGACGTACAATTCTTTAGTGATAGAATTTCGGTAGCCACATTTCAGGGACGTTGGTTTAAAATCGCATTAATAAACATACATTGTCCGACCGAAGACAGTGACGATGAAGTCAAAAGCGAATTTTACGATAAACTCGAATAGGTTTATGATAAACTACCGCGAAACTACATGAAAATAATTATAGGTGACGCGAACGCAAAGGTAGGAAGGGAAGAAGTTTATATTCCGACGATTGGTAAAGAAAGTTTGCACGTATATAGTAATGATAATGGGATCCGTCTGATAAACTTTGCCATCTCGAAAAACCTGAAAATTAAAAGTAAGACGTTTAAACATAAGGATATTCATAAATATACTTGGACATCACCGGATTCTCAAACACGAAATCAAATCGATCATGTCTTGATACAACATAGCTGGCAAAGCAGTATAATTAATGTACGGTGTTATCGCGGAGCAGAATGTGGGTCGGATCATGAATTAGTAATCGCGAAACTTCGACAAAAACTTAATATAAAAAAGAGAAAAGAAAACTGTTTTGATTTTGAGAATTTTAATTTGGACAAATTAAAAAATCCATCAATTAGAACCCAATTCGAGCTAGATGTTAAGAATAGGTTTGAAGCTTTAGAGCTTCCTAACGAGGACCACGAGGATATTGACAAATTATGGGTAGAGATCAGGGATAATATTAAAGCGGTCGGTAACTCGTGTCTAGGAAAAAAGGAAAATAAGAATAACAAACCGTGGTTTGATGAAGATTGCTTAAACATGTGCGAAAAACGAAAATCCGCTAAATTAAAAGCTCTAAATAATCCTAGCGAAGACAATCTGGAATACTTCCGAACCTCAAAGAACGAAACGACAAAATTGCTCAAAAATAAAAAAATAGAGTATCTTAAAAATAAAATAATTGAAATAGAAACTAATAAAATCGAAAATAACGTAAGAGACATGTACAAAGGTATAAACAGATCACGTAAATGTGTAGGGTCCGTAACATCTGGAATTAGGGATGATAATAACAATATTCTGAAAGATCCGGTTTATAAAGCAGCGGGAACCGACACTATTCCTACTGAACTAATTAAGGCATGCGGGGAAGCTGGAGTTTCTAAAATACATCGTTGGTTAAAAAGATATGGGTGAATGAGAAATTACCTGAAGAATGGAAAGAATCTATTCTTATTCCGTTTCACAAAAAGGTTCCGAGGACGGATTGTAATAACTATTGAGGAATTTCACTCCTTCCGGTATGTTATAAAATATTTACTTTAATCTTAACCAGTCGAATCACGGAATACGCCGAGTAAATTATCGGAGACTACCAATGCGGATTTAGACGGAATCGTTCGAGTATTGATCAAATATTTTCTTTACGGCAAATATTAGAGAAAAAATTGGAGTACAACGGTATTGTTCACCAGCTGTATATAGATTTTAAAAAGGCTTACGATTCTATTGACCGCCAGAAACTGTATAATATTCTAATCGAGCAGGGGATTCCAAAAAAACTAGTAAATCTAGTCAGGATGTGCTTGACGGAGACACTCAATAAAGTTAGAATCGGTAATAATCTGTCCGAAAAATTTGAGGTTCGTTCGGGTTTAAAACAGGAGGATTCCCTTTCGCCTGTACTGTTCAATTTGGCACTAGAACATGCTATTAGGGAGGTAATGCGTACCGAGAAAGGGTTGGATCTGGGTGGGACAACATCCGTGCTGGGCTATGCGGATGATCTGGTACTGTTAAGCGAAGACCTTGAAACTATAAAACTAAATATGACAACGTTAATGAAAGCCGGTAAAGAACTAGGACTCGAAATAGAATCTATAAAACAATTATCTTGCCTACAGTTCTTTATGGGTGCGAAACTTGGCCGCTTACATTAAGGGATGAGCAGCGTCTTAAGGTTTTTGAAAATAAAGTATTGCGTAGAATATTCGGACCGAAGAAGGATGAGTTTACCGGAGAGTTCAGACGGTTACACAACGCCGAATTGCGTGAACTGTATCCGAGTAATATAATTGAGATAATTTCATCGTGGCGAATCAAATGGGCTTGTAAAGTTGTTGGACTTAGTAACGAGGGAATTCCTAAAAGGTTAATATTTGCTGTGCCGAATGGTAAGCGTCCGAGGGGTAGACCGAAGCGAAGCTGGGAAGATAGCATTAAAGCTGATCTGAAGGGACTGGGTTTGGACGGCGAACGGTGGAGGGAGGTGTGTAATAAGCGATTGGTGGTGTCGGCATCGAACCTTCGGGTTCGCTAAGCCTTTTTATTATTTTTATTTTAGGATATACATATATATATATATATATATATATATATATATATATATATATATTTTTTTTTTTTTTTTTTTTTTTTTTTTTTTTTTTTTTTTCTGTTGGCAATATAGGCCTTGATGCCTATTTCTTTCCAGTTATCTGCATGCAGCTCTATTGCATCTTTGTTGATTCGATCTACTGAATAAAATATATATTATATACATATATATATAATAATAATAATAATAAGGCTTAGCGAACCCGAAGGTTCGACACCACCAATCGCTTGTTACACATCTCCCTCCACCGTTCGCCATCCAAACCCAGTCCCTTCAGATCGGCTTTAATGCAATCTTCCCACCTTCGCTTCGGTCCACCCCTCGGACGCTTACCATTCGGCACAGCACATATTAACCTTTTAGGAATTCTCTCGTTACTAAGCCCAACAACTTTACAAGCCCATTTGATTCGCCGCGATGAAATTATCTCAATTATATTACCCGGATACAGCTCACGCTATTCGGCGTTGTGTAACCGTCTGAACTCTCCGGTTAACTCATCCTTCTTCGGTCCGAATATTCTACGCAATACTTTATTTTCAAAAACCTTAAGACGCTGCTCATCCCTTAATGTAAGCGGCCAAGTTTCGCATCCATAAAGAACTGTAGGCAAGATAATTGTTTTATAGATTCTAATTTTTAAGTTTCGGGACAAGAGGCGCGAACTAAGTAGTTTTGTCACAGAAAAATAACAAGCATTCCCCGCCTTCAGTCTAACCTTAATCTTTTCTTCACTTTCGTTTTTTCTAGTTATCGTAGAACCTAGATACCTAAATTTATCTACCTGTTCAAACATATTACCATCTATATCGATATCTCCAATAGTATCGCCATTTTTGCAGCTAACCATATATTTTCTTTTATCGACGTTTATTTCGAGTCCTAGTTCTTTACCGGCTTTCATTAACGTTGTCGTATTTAGTTTTATAGTTTCAACGTCTTCGCTTAACAGTGCCAGATCATCAGCATAGCCCAGCACGGATGTTGTCCCGCCCAGATCCAACCCTTTCTCGGTTCTCATTACCTCCCTAACGGCATGTTCTAATGCCAAATTAAACAGGACAGGCGAAAGAGAATCTCCCTGTTTTAAGCCCGAACGAACCTCAAATTTTTTAGACAAATTATTACCGATTCTAACTTTATTGAGTGTCTCCGTCAAGCACATCCTGACTAGATTTACTAGTTTTTTTGGAATCCCCTGCTCGATTAGAATAATAATAATAATAAGGCTTAGCGAACCCGAAGGTTCGATGCCGACACCTCGATTAGAATAGACACAGATCATAATTTCCCGTATTTAAAATATTGTCAAA